ACCAGTTTACTTATAGTGATTGTCAATTATTAATGGGAACGTTGGGTAATTTTATAAAATTACCCTTTATAATTCAAACTTTTGCAATTTAAAATCAAAATAAAATTTTTACAAAATCATCCAACACTGACGGGATGCTACCAAAAGTGTTCATCTTGAATTTGCTCCTTCCAACATTTCATCTTGAATATTAGCATGCTGCACTGTGCTTCCATACTCACATTACAAAGAGTCTTTTGCCCAATGTCAATATGCATTTAATGGCTGAGAAATCGAAGAAAGTTTCGAGCAAAACAAATAACAATTTTGGGGAAGTATTTTCAACAGATTTGGATTAATTTTTTTTTTTCTTAAAAAAATTACTATGCACGCAGATAATGCAAGACTACTGCAAAATTCTTGCCTGAGAAAGCTTTTGCTTCGGGAAAGATTCTTGCATGAGAAAGTGAAGGAAACGAAAGGAAAAAGTAGGAAGAGACGAAGAGCTCTCACTTGACAACCAAAATTCTTAGAGAAACAAACCCGAAAAAGAAAAAAGAAAAAAAAAGAGCTGAAGAAATGATTCAAAATGGGTGAAATGCAGATTCAGAACAACAGAAAAGAGAGCACGAGCATTATTGTGTGAAAAAATAGTCAATATTTTCCCACCATGTGAGATTTTCAGAATACGACTCGTGTCACGGTGGTATTTTTCATTGAAAATTTTGTTCACATTTTAAAATCCCGATAAAGCAAGAATCTCAAGAAAATTTTTGCACTCTCTTATACCAAATGTAAGTATCTCGGATTCCCAACCTAAGTTTTTTGAGATTTTAAATTTTAACCTTTTACCAAATATCCACTTAATCTATTTTGTAAGTGTAGTGTACTCCTTTTTAATTGGGGTATGACAGGTGAAGCAAGAAAATTTTATAGGAGGAGGCAAAGTTGTAACATATATTCTTCTTCGTAAGTTACAATTATTTATCTAACAAAAATAAATAAAGATTATGCTCACGATAAGGACTTCTATAAATTTTGAAAATGTGATTGCTATTTATATGAAAAAAATTGAAAATTATGCTCAAAACTAAAATTTTGTATGGACTTGAGGTGATCCCCACCCTAAAATCTTCCACTCCAGCACTCATACCAATTCAACACAATACATACTTGTTTTAAAACTTTTAAAGATAAATTCATTTAAAAAAAAAAAATACAAAAATTTCTTCACCGTGTAACATTTTGAATAGTTATTATCTTTCATGGAGCAGGTTACAAACAAAAGTCATGCGAAAAGACCAAGGTAAGTGACAGAATGATGGTATGGTTATGCTTTTTTCATTATAACAACTTTGACTGTATGGTATCATGCGTACATATAATGGTAAAAATCGTACCATAAAACAAAGCTTGCTTTGTCGCAAAGTACTTGGTAAACACCTACACATATCATCTAACATTTGGGAAAAGTGTTTATCTTTTTAAATGACACAACTTATATCATTTCACTCTCAGAAAGAGGTGGGACCCACACCTTTATTTTATTCGTCAACTCTCTCTCCTCCTTTATCTATCTCTTTCTCTTTCTTAAAATGACACAACTTTACGTCCTTTAAAATGACACACACTTTACCCCTAACATTTATGCCAAACTTCTGGGAACAAACATAAATTTGTGCTTTGCTCGGCGAGTGGTTGAATTAGAGTTTACAAAATTTACTTGAAATAAATTTAATTTTATGGAATTGATTTTAATACGAAGTGTGTCTATGTTAAGAGTGTTAGTGTTAATAGTGTAGAAGTCCCACATTAAGTGTGTCTCTTTGTATTCTTCAATTGGTTTGCTATATAATAGCACCGATGTTGTGTAGTTTAATACAACAAGTATTACTATCGTTTCCTCTTGTATCTATGATATTCAACATGGTATCAGAGACTAACAAGAAGAATCTTAATCCGTTTAACTTAGTTCTATTTTCCATAATTTCAATATGGTTATAGAGAGATATCACCCTCCTTGAGGTATTCCCGTTGCTATTTCTTTTTCGGGTTTTTCTTAGTATGCTCTGTGACTGCAGCTTAGACTGATCTGTCACATCAGAAAAGAATGATCCTTGGGAAGTTGTTGGGTTGACCACCGTTGTCGTTGACCGACCACTGTTGACCACGTCGTCCACCGTTGACAGCCGTCTCCGGCGACTTTTCCGATGACTTTCCAGCGACTTTTTCGGCGACCCACCACCGTCTCCGGCGACTTTTTCGATTCCGCGAAGCTTTGTTTTTCTTTAATCTTCTTTCTTCCCAAGATGGAGTATTTATACTATTCATCATCCATCTTGAGGGGGAGCACTGTCCAAGTTGCTGATGTTGTCTCCGCTGATGTTAATTCCGACACCGAAGTTTCTCTTGAGGGGGAGCACTGTCCATGTTGCTGATGGTCATTCCAGCACAATTGTCTTTGTCGATGATAATTCTGGCACTGTTTAGAAGTTCCTCTTGAGGGGGAGCACCGTCCATGTTGCTGATGGTCATTCCAGCACAATTGTCTTTGCCGATGATCATTCTGGCATTTTCCATGTTGATGTTCATTTCGACGCCATTTTTAGCACATTGTTGATTTTTGGTTTCTCATTTAGGAGATTTATTTTGATGTTATGTTACTTGGTCTTTCTTGTAATAAGCTTGTAGCATAGTCAAGGGGAAACCACGGCTGCTCACCAACTGTTAAATGAAATGTCTGAGAGGGATCTTGATGTTGATGTCCTGGTCAGCTCAGTTGTCTTTGCCGATGATAATTCCGGCACCATCCATGCTCTGATGTCCATTCAAGCACTGTCTCTTTATCAGCTCTTCACACTGATGGTCATTCCAGTTGATTTGTTGTACTTAGTCATTTCATTTCGTTGATGTAGCATTGTTGTTTTTGGTTCCTAATGGGAGTATTATTTATGTATCAAGCTTGTAGCATATGATCTATATGCTACAGCTTTAGGGGGAGTGTTAAGAGTGTTAGTGTTAATAGTGTAGAAGTCCTACATTAAGTGTGTCTCTTTGTATTCTTCAATTGGTTTGCTATATAATAGCACCGATGTTGTGTAGTTTAATACAACAAGTATTACTATCATTTCCTCTTGTATCTATGATATTCAACAGTCTAAGTAAATTAATGTATATTTTAAAAGTATTTATGTGAAAAATGATAGTGTGATAATCAATGCCGTTTGGATGGTATTAATAAAATTACTCTTAGATGTATAGTTAATTAAAAGGAAATGAATTTTCCTTTAATCAAATTGAAAATAAATGAATGTTAAAATATGATTGTAAATAAATTGACGAATTAGAAAAAAATGGTACTGTTTGAAGATTTTTGCATAATTGAAGAATTATATTCATAACAAAATCTTTTGGATGATCAAATACAATTTTTCAAAAGACTAAAATACAAGGTTACTCAAAAATTATAGTAGCTGTACATTATTGCAAACAAACAAGTCTGTTTCAAGTTTCGTTGCCACAAGGGTTTCAAACGTACGCATACATCAACCATGATGGTTCATAATGTACTCTTGTGAAGTCAGTAACCACGAGTGAATTATGCTGCCATGTAAGCTATTATAACTGACGAACTTCCATGCTGGATTGCTGTTATGGACTATGGTCTCTAAAGCCCGCTCATTAATTATGTTCACTTGTCATGAGTAAGTCAACTAAAAAATATAGGTGAGTTAGATATTGACTTTTTAAATATATTTATTAAGACATTAAAAATAAATACCTATCTACTTTATTTCACTAATATCATTTTTGGAAGGAATGTGTATTATTTTAAAGAATGTAAAGTTGTGTCATTTTAAGTGAGAAAATAGATAGATAAAAAGGAAGAGAGAGTGGACAAAAATATATAAAGATGTGAGTCTCACCTCTTTGTGAGAATGAAATGACTCAAGTTGTGTCATTTAGAAGGACAAATATTTTTTCCATCATTTTGAGATATGTTTTATGAGGAAGGTTATACGTACAACCTATTTTCGTTTACAACTTCTTACAACCATATCTTAACCGATGATTTCCGTCAATCAATGGTTATTATTTATTGTGAATTAATAATTAATTAATGAGTTTAATTTGAAAAAATAATAATCGTTGATTGACGGAAATCAACGGTGTTAAGATGCGGTTGTAAGAGGTTGTAAACAAAAATATGTTGTAAGTATAACCTTCCTCATGTTATATTTATCATTCAATTAAAATTAAATTAATAATTATAAAATAATATTAAATAAGAATAATTGATTTGATTTTGATTTAATAATTATAAAAATGGTTTGATGTTTGTCATTTTAAATGACATAAGTTATGTCATTTTAAATGACATAAGTTATGTCATTTTAGAAAAGAGATACACATAAGAATAGAAATCATAGGAGAGAAAGTGAGTGATTTTTTTAATTTAAATTTTAAATAAAAAAAATATTATTGTGTCTATCTCTCTCTTAAAATCATAACTTTATGTCATTTAAAATGACAAAAACTTTTCTCTTATAAAAAATGATAGAGAAAGAATATTATTACTACTAACTTACTACCTATCTAATCATCATTGAATCAAAGAGAGAGAATTGAAAAAAGTTTTTGAAAAAAGAGAAAATACTGATTCAATGATGATTAGATAGATAATAAGTTGATAGTAAAAAAATTTGATAGTAAAAATATCCATTCTCAGAATGTTAATAGAAAACTCCAGTATAATTTTAGTTTTACTTTTTTTTTTTTCTGTTTGTCTTTACCAAAAGTCTTAAACTAGCAACTAAATTCAAAAGCAAAAGCGAGGAGTGAGGCCCTAAGAACCAGAAAGAAAAAATAGGAACGGCCACACGAGACAAGAGTAATAAGTAAAGAGCGCGATTAAGGCATCTCCGAGTCTGAGTCTGAGTCGAGAGGACCGAGTTCAGGGGCGATTCCAGTACGTATCCATTTGAGTAGTGTTGTCACTTGTCAGCATTAATGGTCCATACCATACCATCAGCACCAGAGGGCCAAACCACCTTCCTCACCCTTAGATCTCATCTTTCCCATTCCACTCCCACCGTCCGATCGATCACCTTTCCTTTCTCTCTCTCTCTCTCTCTCTCTCTCTCTCTCTCTCTTTTTCTCTTGTGTTGTCGTGTTTGTGGCTGTATGTAGCTAGCACACACAACACAATTTCAAGTTGGGACTTTGAAGTCGAACAACCCTAACCTAAGAAGGAAGCAGGAGCGGGAACTGCAAAGCAAACACTTGATATGTAGCGTTGCTTTCTCAGTGGTCTCAGCAGGTACTTTCTTGGATTCTTCTTCGGTCTCTTCGGAAATTGATGCCAACTAAAGGACAGTAATAATCACGGATCTTCTATTGCTTTCCTTCGATTGGACAAAATCAACTTTACCCAATGCAATTTCGCTAGGTTACCCTTACTTCGCCCTGTCAATTTCTCAATTTTTCGCTTTCTCTATATCCTAGTTCCTCAATCGAGTGTATGGTTCTAATTTAAGTTTGTTTATTTATTTATTTATTTATTTTCCTTTTCTATTTTCTCTCGCAGCGGTTACAATTCGAGGCATTCTAATTAACAAGCGCATAGTGGAGCTAATAAATCTTAGTTCTCTGTGCGTGACTCTTTGTTTGGTGGTTTATGCTCAGGTTTGCTTTGTCTGCAGATTTGGTTTGATTGGAGCTCTGATGGACTTCAAGATCGCCTTACATACTTGGACTTGGCAGTTTGAGCTCATAATATGGTGAAGGGTTTTGGAGCAAAAACATTTCCCAAAATCTTGCTGTTTTTGTTCTTGTTTCTAAATCGTTATTGCCAGTTGAAGTAATTAATCTCTGGTAATTGAATAGTGGAGGTTCATTGTGGGCAGGGGAGAGCTAAAAATTGAACCACACATAAACATAGATTACCCATTTTGGTGATCTTCCCTCGACACTGGAACCATGGAAATTGCTTGCAGTGTTTGAACTGTCAAAGCAAAGCCCAAGGTATGAGCGAGGCCTGTGCTACTTCCGCTTTATAACTCAAGATTGACCAACCATGGAAGCAAATGGAATCGTTCATGATACTAGCCTAGGAGCGGCGAGGAGGGAAAAGAGAGAGGTAGGAGACAAATCAATGGAGGATTTAACTAAATATGCACACAGTCCTGCTCACTTGGCAGTTGCCAGGCGTGACCATGCTGCCCTAAGGCGCATTGTTTCCACCCTGCCTCGGCTTGCTAAGGCTGGCGAGGTCAACGCAGAAGCTGAATCTCTTGCTGCTGAACTTCGAGCGGATGAGGTCTCTGCTGTTATTGATCGCCGCGATGTTCCTGGTAGGGAGACCCCTCTTCACCTTGCTGTACGTCTCAGGGATTCAGTCTCTGCTGACATTTTGATGGCAGCTGGTGCGGATTGGAGTCTACAGAATGAGCATGGTTGGAGTGCTCTCCAAGAAGCGGTGTGTGCTAGAGAGGAAGCGATTGCCATGATTATTGCACGGCACTATCAACCCCTGGCTTGGGCCAAATGGTGTCGTAGACTTCCCCGCATTGTTGCTTCTGCAACTCGTATTCGTGATTTTTATATGGAGATAACTTTCCATTTTGAGAGCTCTGTCATTCCTTTCATTGGGCGCATAGCCCCTTCCGATACTTATCGAATTTGGAAGCGTGGTTCTAATCTCCGTGCTGATATGACCCTTGCTGGCTTTGATGGTTTACGCATCCAACGATCAGACCAAACATTTTTGTTCCTTGGAGAGGGCTATGCCTCAGAGAATGGTAATTTAACTCTGCCAGGTGGTTCTTTGATTGCTCTTTCTCATAAGGATAAGGAAATCACAAATGCTTTGGAAGGAGCTGGTACACAACCAACAGAAGCTGAAGTTGCTCATGAAGTTTCCTTAATGTCCCAGACAAATATGTATAGACCGGGTATTGATGTAACTCAGGCTGAGCTTGTTCCCCATTTAAATTGGAGGCGTCAGGAGAAGACTGAGATGGTTGGGAATTGGAAGGCAAAAGTTTATGACATGCTTCATGTGATGGTGAGTGTGAAGTCAAGGCGGGTTCCAGGTGCTATGACAGATGAAGAGCTTTTTTCTGTGGAGGATGGAGAAAGTATGATAAATGGGGAAAACAATGATGAGTATGATGATGTATTGACTGCTGAGGAAAGAATGCAATTAGATTCTGCACTACATATGGGTAATTCAGATGGTACTTGTGAGGATGAGGAACATGGAGTCTTTGATGGTCAAGAAAATGTTTCAGCAGCTTCCTATGAGAATTCTGAAGCCAATGGCATGGTTAAAGAGAAGAAGAGCTGGTTTAGTTGGAACAAGAAAAATTTGAAGAGTAGCAGTGATGAGCCTGAGGATTCCAAAACTTTGAAGAAAATTTCAAAGTTTGGCTCAGAAGGTAGCAATCAGAGATTAGGTGAGCAGCAAAAGCCAGCATCTGAGTTTTTGAAGGAGGATAGTGGAGACTCTAAGAAGGGAAAAGATAGAAACAATAGAAAAAAGAAGAAAGGAGTAATCAGTGAGTCTAAGAATGAAAGTGAGTATAAAAAGGGTTTAAGACCTGTCTTGTGGCTAACGCCAGACTTCCCTTTGAAAACTGATGAGCTTCTGCCTCTACTTGACATCTTAGCAAATAAGGTTAAGGCTATTAGAAGACTCAGAGAGCTTTTGACAACTAAGCTTCCTCATGGAACTTTTCCTGTCAAGGTAATCCAAATACCATGACTTTTAAGTTCTTAATTTTTTACTCTGCACTCTTGCATTAAACGTGTTGATGATACTTCTGTTACTGTTAATTAACGAGGAGTTTTGGTCAGTTGGCAGATTAGTTATATGCCACGGTTGACTGGTCAGGTTAGCTTACCTTAATATAAGGAGATCAAATTGTGTTTGAGCGTTTTCGCAATAACATTACTTGTCTGTATCACGGTTGTTGTCTATGTTGGGGCATGTTCAGCATTAATGATAATAATCTCTGGTGCTACTCAGGTTGCTATTCCCATAGTCCCTACTATCCGGGTGCTTGTTACCTTTACAAAATTTGAGGAGCTTCAGCCAGTAGAGGAGTTTTCAACTCCACTCTCCAGCCCGGCACATTTCCAGGATGCCAAATCCAAGGATTTAGAAGGGTCTACATCATGGATTTCATGGATGAAAGGAAATCGTGGAGGACAGTCCAGCGACTCTGATAGCCACAGATATAAAGATGAAGTTGAAGTTGACCCTTTCAGCATACCTGCAGACTACAAATGGGTGGACGCCAATGAGAAGAAACGCCGAATGAAGGCAAAGAAAGCGAGAAGTAAGAAACACAAGAAGCAGACAGCGGCAAAAGGTGGAGATGGGGTGCGTCAGATGACTGAGGATGTTGAAGAATAATATTAATATCATGGTTTGGTATCTCTGGGTAAATTGAGGCTTTGATAATTGTTGCCAGACAAAAAGAGTCTTTCTTTGTGCACAGCCATAACTGACTTTACATTTCAACATTGGGGTGTTTCTCCGAGAATTTACTAGAAATTTCTTGGGCAACCAATTGTTATTAGTTAAGTAAAAGGTGCCTTTATTTTTTTCCCCCGTTTCGCGAAGAAAGCTTTGTCTTTTATAAGTTGTATTGTCATGTGAAGTGAAATTGAAGGTCAAGAGTCTAACGCTCCTTCAATTGCTTTCGGCTTCATTCTAATTTTCTCGAGATACCAATATTTGTATCTACTCCTATGTCGATGATCATCGATTCTACGTTTTCGTGATTGGTATTCTCTTCAGTTTTCACCTTTATGTCATCAAGATTTTGAATGTAGTTTTAAAAGGAGTCAATTACACCAGTAGATTTTGTTCAAACGGTATGTAATGATTAAATTGCTAGATACTTTTCACTTCCGGAGGTCGAAGGGTTTCGTAGTGTCAAATGCGTAGACTTAGCTTTGCTTATGGTTGAAGATGTCGAAATACCAAGCCCTTTCATGAATTACCTACAAATCCCTCAGGGGTGTTTGTTTAAAGTATTTGAAGATGATTACCAGTAATCCTTCTTTGGTAAATGCAATTACCACGTTTGGTAGAAGGAATAAAAATCAATTTCCGGATATCCAAGGATTACTGGTAATTTGATTTATAAAGAAAAGTCACTATTCAGATTATCAAAAATAATATGGTAATTCAGAATACCAATTAGAATACCAAGTAAAGAGAAAGCACAACAATAAATTTTGAGACAAAAATACCCCAATATACATAAAAATCTAGACCCAATCTATCAATTACAAAAGTAAAAATAGTTTGGGGTTATTTTTGTAAAATAACCTCATATTCCAAGTCATATTTCGTTCTAAACCAAACATAGAATTAGTAATTTTTACCCAATATTTCCGGTAATATTTTGGCGAACCAAACGTCTCTTTCGTAAGATTCCAAGTAAACTCAATTTCTACTGTATTCCCATTAATCATGATTCCCATATACTAAAAAATTTCTTTTGTACCAAACACACCCTCAGGAACTAGAATAAAATACAGAGCAGAAGAAAAAAATAACGGACTTCCGAATATTTTGATTCTTTCATATTGCTTATAACCGTGTAGTATTATTTTTCTTTTGGCATGTCCAATAATTATACATACAAAGAAGCTATATATTTTCCCAAAAATACAAATCTATTATCTATCATTAATCATATAGACAACATATTTGTTGAGAAATAATATTATTTACAGAGACAGATACCCTACCAAAACCTGTCCTTATTGACGCTCAAGTAGCCAGCCATTACCTTTCCCCCAGTATTTCTCATTCCATCTATAAGGAAGCACCAAGTAGAACCCAATGCTCCAACGAAAAAATCAGAGTCCGCAGCCATCAGGAAATTAACCAGTGGATAATTAGTGCTGGTCTCCCTACCCAAGCTGGATTCATACTCGGCCATTGACACATTACTCCTACCTTGGCGTCTTACCTTTGTATAGTAGAAGTTCCAACGAAAATATCCTTGGCTTTTGTCGATGACTTCCTGAATCAAATTGGATTCTTCATAATGTTAAGAGACAGAAACACTTATACTATCCCAATGATATGATTTACAAGAAAGCTAAAAAATACCTGCATCTCAGTGGAGAGCCAAATGCTATTAAGGTTTGGGAAATGCCTCCTAATCCGATTAGCAAGTTGCATGTATTCTTCAAATTCGACCATTTTCATTTCACATGCTTTGTCTCCCATCCTTACATGCATGCTTAGAAGAGGCCTAGGTACCCATGGCTTGTGATTCGACCAAACATATTCATCAATATCAGACCTTGCCTTGTTACTATTTTCCTGAGGCATCACCACAAGTCAACTTATGACAATATCAAATCATAAAGAAGGGTAAACCGAACATATGCGTGGGTTTTAGACTTTGATCCATTTTAGTCTTCTATATCCAAAATAAGAATAATAGTGCAGAGTTAACCTTTGGCCATTCTCCAGCAAGACTTTTGAGAACCATTTTTGCAGCTATTTTTCCAAAGGCAGCATGGCGGGCTTCATTCAATAAATTGCATGTGTACTCAGTTGGGAACCTCATTAAGTAGCGTACAGCCTGAAAATAATGTTTATTGCAAATACCATTGAATCATGAACTATTCATGGATGATAGTTAGTCCAACTCACAACAAACATCAGTAATGACCTGCTGATAAACATAAGTAAATATTTTCTAACCTCTTTAACATCTTATTTTATCATAGTTTGTCTTATTGAGAAGAGAAGACAATGAAAGGAGAAGTTACTCATAGACTTAAAGGTTGTTATTGAGGTAATGAGTACCTGTGCTCTCCACCATCGTCTATCCATTTTTCTATGAGAAACCACCAGACTGCCATTTAAATCGGTTGTGGGTTGCAAATAATTCCATGGATTGCCCCATATCCTGCAGCATACATACATTGACATAGGAAGAATAATAACTCTATCTTCAGTAAGGAAGCTATCATAAATATATAACTACTTTCAGTTGTTGTGAGAGCTTGCCTAGGAGTTGGTCCTGTCCATATATGCTTCGATGTGTAATTTTCTTTTGTGGTAAAAATTCCTTTACTCCATGCATCTTCACTTCTCATTAGTTCCAAAGCACGTTGACGGCATTCTAGGGAAGTTTCTGGAAAGAAGTAACAATTCCAACTAGACCGGGAAGACCCTGCATCAACAAGAGTGTCCACTTACAGTAACAATTCAAGTTGTTAAAAATGAATTAAACACAAAACCACAAAAAAATTGTACCTTTGCAACCATCATGGTTAGCCCTATTAAAGAAGTTAGTAACAAGGATTCTTCTTTCATTGATAGCAATAGCAAGAAGTCCACACATTCCAGCAATCTGAGCTCCCATGCCAAATCCAGGTAACCTCTCCCAGTCAGCAAGAAGGAACTTGACATTCGGGTTGCTACAGTTTAATGGATGCTGATGGATCCATATGTCACGCTGAACTTTTCTAGTCAGGGGATAGTTTTCTTCATCAGATCCTTCAATCTGCAATATTTAAGCACATAAGTGTCATTTTTATGCTCCCAAATACAGTTCATGAATCTTCCTCAAGCATCTACATGCCGCGGTTCTGATAATAATTATAACCTAAATATTGGAATTCTATGTTAAGAAAAGGTGACGCGGCCAAGATAACAAGCAATTCCATGCTTGAAGAAAAAGCAGTATATTTATTTAATTTATATCAAATTTTCATTACATAATAATGTACCTAATTAGTTGTTTATAAACTGAGGGTAATCAAATGCCAATTAAATATAAAATTTTCATTTTAAGAACATACTTCTGTAATCAGCTCTATGTTCAGAAAAAGGTAAGCATTTATGAGAAACATACAGAACACAAACAATGGCCTAGAATGATGCAATGGTTGTGAAAGGTGATTTTAAGCGAAACCGATTAATGTGACTTCATTAGCATATTTTGAGGTAATGATAAAAAAATATTGATACCAACAAGTAGTTAAATATTGTTTCAATATTTATAGTTAGCGAGTCTAAAATACAGTACAAACAATTAACAAATTACATACCCATGGTGGATAAGCACCCTCAGATATAACCTGATGCCTGAAGTTTTGAATTTGTTCACTGGTTTCAGCAACAGGGTGAGTGTCCAAAAATCCTTTCCAAGTTGTCCATGGCGGAAAGCTATCATTTCCTGTACGCTTATCAAGACTGTCATATAGCTTCCTTTTCACCTTGCAGTTTTCCAAATGTGGGGCTCTTGGTAAACTCAACTCACTAATTCCAAGTTTCAGCAAGCACTCATTTCTACCAGTTGCAGATTTATTTAACACACAACTCCAAGCTGAATAAAGCAAAGAGACACTGTCATCGTTATCTCCTTCTCTTCTGCTCTTCAAATCCCTTAATCTCTCTGTTTCCTTAGGGTTAAAATTGCAGTCTGTTCATGTCACCATAACAAGGAAAGAAAGAAAAAAAAAAAACACAAGACATTCGCCGTCAATTAAACTTAATATACCGATAATAGTAGTAATAACAATAATAATAATAAAATTATTTACTAGGTTACAACGTTACAGTGGTTAGTTCTATGTGCTTTATCGTATTATAAACAGTTGGTAACCGCAAGAATGTTCTATATGCAATATTGATTATGCAAAACAAAACAATGTGCATAGTATACTTAACTTAAAAGTGAAAGTAAAAGAGAATGTCCTATTAGAGTATGCTTAACTTAAAGCAACCATTGGTATTATTACAAGTTTCTTCAGGGACAAGCCTTCATCAAGTTTGCTTCACGGATAAACATCCTTAAAGTTTCAGCTAAATCCAATATATCCTTGCATTGAATTTAGGAAAAAGGTAGGAATTCATGATAAGAAAAGAAGAAAGCATGTTGTATAAAGTTAAAAAGTTAACAGAGGCATAAAATTGAAGTAATAAAATAATTATGGTCTGAAAGAATCAGAAGGAAATTGACTTACTGATGTTATTATCGAGATCTGAGTTCCATGATAAATTAAGCATTGACATGGTTGAGAATGAAAAGCGACCAAAGTGGAAGGTGCCAAATGAAGTAAGAGCAGCCAAAATCAAAGAGGCAAGACAGACTCCACAAAGAAATCCCACAACACAAATCTGACATGGAAATGAGTTGCTCATTTGCAAGGCTCTCTGCGAAACCACTCTCTCAATAGACCTTTGATTTAATTGCTCCATTTCACTTTTCTTGTGAATTTATTCAAAAAAGCTTTTGCATTCTTTTTCTCGAAAATTTCATGGACTCACACACTAGGACTGCAGCATACTTGCTTAAGCGTTCACCAAGAAACTTTACCTAGCTGTTCATGATCCACAAAGCTTCAAATTCGTACCTTGTTCCAACTACTCCAAGAAAAGGACCTAAAAACAAAATAAAAAAATCGCACAATTACCGAATCATGCCACCTCAAAAAACTTTTTGTGGGCCATCCCTTGTCATCATCCTTCCAACTGCAAAATAAATGCATGAACTGTGGAGTTCCCATCAGAATTTCTCAAAGCTATATTCTTACAGAGAGTCAGAAAGGGACAGAGGGTCCATAGCAAGAACATGTATACATAATATCAGACATGTTCATCGAACAAGAAAAGCGTGACCAAATTTGGATAAATTTTTTGTAAGGAAACAGGCAACTAAACGGGAATTCACATATTTTCTTGACAATTTATCTGATAGTCTTCAAGATAATCAAACCAAAAAATGAAACAAGATAAGGTGAAAAGGAGTAGAGAATTCAATATTAAGTTGAAGTGGAACAAGGTCCAAACTTTTATTAGAAGCTAATCACCCAAAAAAAGAATTAAAATTTAGTATATATGCATTACAAGGAAAGGAATGGGAAGCTATGATTGAGCATGACGTTGATGACGTGTTTTGAATGCAGAGAAAGAAAGCAAAAGCGAGCAAGAAAGACAGGTTCCATGAAAAGGACAAGAGAACCAATCCAATCCGTGAACTAGATAGATAAGAATCTGCGGTGACAGCCTTAACCAGAAACACAAACAGTGAGCCTGATTTTTTACCTGACCCTTTTGTATATTTGAAATGGTAAATATATTATATTAAAAAAGAGAGGCTAAGCTAAAAGTAGAGAGAGAAAGAAGAAAATATTGGGAAGGTGAATGAATGACTGAACAGGTTCAGTAGTACCTTGAGGTTCAATATTCCATGGTGTGCTCGAGAACCGTGCAATCAATGGAGAGAAGGGTCATCTGGTGGCGGGTGGGGTTACAGTTCCCACTTGCCATTACTATTCTGATTCTACCTTCGTTCCCTCCCTCAATGGTTCTCTCTCATACTTGTTTTCTTTTTTTAGTTTCCTAAGGTTTATATTTCGAACTAATACGGTTCGAGCATTGTAGGATCCAAAGTAAGAGTGACTCTCCCTAAATTACTTTTTTCATTTCTAAACTTGAATTCGAGACCTCTGTTTAAAGTTTGGTATTTGTTTTCTTTTTAAGTGGTATAACCTAAACCCAATAAACACTTTAAAATGAAGGCAAGAACGTAACAGAGAAGCTTTGATTTGCATACAGTCTTTGTTTTCTTTTGAGAAATAAAATGAGTTGCGGTGATGCCTCCTTGGCTGAGTTATGAAACCTTACCTTTCTTTTTTTTGGTGGAGTAATGTTTCTTTTTTGGGAAAAGTGTGTATAATTTTGAAGGATCTAAAGTTGTGTCATTTTAAGAGAGAGAAAGAGATAGATAAAGGAGGAGAGAGAGTTGACAAAAAAAATAAAGTTGTGGGTCCCACCTCTTTGTGAGAGTGAAAGGATGTAAGTTGTGTAATTTAAATGTATAGACACTTTTCCCTTTTTTTTCTTTCATTCATTCTCTCTTCTCTCGTTCTCCACACTTTTGATTGCTTTTTCAAGTGGGTTCTTTCTTTGTACCCATTCTTGACACACGCATTCGACGTGAGTGACAAGACTTTTATCAAACAATAGGAATACATAGTTACCAGTTGCCACATAAACCAATGACAGAGCGAGTGTTGCTAAAGCGGATAGGGTAGAGTTAAGATTGATGTTTAGGGAGTACAGTTAATTAAAGTGTTAATTATTATTGGAGGTTTGTTTTTCTTTTCGTTGGGAAATGAGATTCGAATGAGTGAATGATAGAAAAACAGAGAATCTCCATGGAAGTTGTTTTCAGTGGCATGCTCCAAGGATTAACTTTAATAATTACAGTAGGTTTCGTTCAAGTATTGATAAATGCAGAGTCGGCAATACGGACTCGGCTCGGCGAGTCAATTCGTCCACCAATTAAATGGGATGAGATAGATGAGTTTTTCAACTCATGTCAAAAGCGTGATGAGTTCATTTTTTAGCGGGTTGATGACGAGCGTAGGCGAACTGAGACGGATGTGTAAAATAGACTCAAGCTAGCGGGCCAACCCATCTAACCCGTCAAAGCAGGCGGGGTAGGCCGAGTTTTTTAGTCCACTTTCAAAAGCGGAAAGGGACGGGTTGACTCATTTTTTGACCGGTTGGTGGCGGGGCAAGGCGGGTCGTTCACTTTGCCACCTCTAAATAAATGCGGCTAACCGAGATATATAAAGTTTTATTTGTTGATATAATTTAGAGTTTAATATTTCTTATTTTTTACCTATACATAAAAATATGTGAGGTCCATACATATAAGATTATATAAAGAGAAAAAAAAAATGAGTTCTACACACTTTTATATATATAGAAAATAATTTTATTTCAAATAATATGAGAGACATTAAATTCTATAATTATAAATTATGTATTTAATTATCAACTATAGAATATTATTCTATTTATTGGCTCAATTAAGTGATATTTGTAAAAAAATTCAACTAGATTGTTAATTGAGTATGGGCAAATGGATTCGTAATATTGGACCAATGAAAGCGACAAATAAAAGCAAACCTAAAACTATAGTTCGGGATTATATAAATGGTCGAGCTTTTTACCCGCACGTCTCTCCTAATCTAAATTTTTCCTTTAAAAGAAATTATGATTTACAAAAGAGTTTTTCTCTTTCCTAAATAGTCATTCAAGAATTCCGTGATATAGGTGAGGAAGACTAAAACCATAAAATAAAGGCTAAATATCAAGTTGTTTAAAAAGCATATCTTTATTTGGCTTACGTTTCCCGATCATCCAATAAATGGTGGAGGTATAGAATTTTGTGAGGGAGGTGAGAAAAGCAAATTTCATACTAATTAAGGCACGCAGGGAAATACGATCGTAGGTAGATACGTAGTCAAATTTGAAGAAAAAAAATAAGGACGAAAGGGGTAAACTTATGCTATATTATCTTACGTTACATCTGAATATAATTTAAGACGAAGATTTTATAAAATTGAAAAGGGGATCGTCTCTTAATGTAAGGTAAATATTTTCATCATAAATTTTAACATGAAGAAATTATCTTACACCGATATAAAAAATAAATTTTACATTTAATTTTTTTTTGATAAGCATCTTACACTTAATTTTAACTGTTGATCTACTTGTTTCAAATGATTTGAATTTATGAATCACGTGATTCGTTAGATATAATTATAATCGATGATTAAGATTAAAAATATAAATTATAGTAGTGTAGAATTATATACTCCTTTTAATATATAAAATTATCATTTGCATGTAAATGTAACCTTACCTTAATATATATATATATATATATATATATATATATATATATATATATATATAGGGTATAATTTTTTTCTCTTGCATGAGAAAACATATCCCCATAATACATTTAAAGTTGAACCAACTTTATTTATTTATCTTTAAAAAATAGTTGGCCTCACATTTGTTGTTTCTGCAACATGAGATAATGAGTATGGAGACTTATATTTCATATATATATATATATATATATATATATATATATATATGAGTTTGATGTTTGTCCTTTTAAAGAACATAAGTTATGTCATTCTAGGAGAGAGATAGACACAAGAAATAAAAATTATGGGGAAGTAAGTGGGTGGCATTTTTTTAATTTAAATTTTAAATAAAAAATATTATTTTATATCTATCTCTCTCTTAAAATGACATAATTTTATATCATTTAAAATGATAGACATTTTTCCATATATATATATCGAAAAAGTTAAAATAGAATTATGTCAAAATACCCAAACATCTTTTCCATTTCCTACTAAGCGCTTTTTGGGCCACAAAACAATAAAGACTAAAAAACAAAAACAAAAAAACATAACGTTTAAATAATAAATTACAACATGTTTATTTAAAAAACCTATTACCACCTGTTATTATATGTTCTTTTTACCAAAAAAAATATAAAAAATTAAGAGGGAGGATTCACTTACCACCATTGAATTATAAAAAATTGTGAGAGGATGAGAAAAGATGTGAGAGAATAAAAGATAAAAAATTAGGATTATAAAAATTAATTGTAAGTCATTGAATTTAATTTTAATCTAACAGTAATTAAATTAATTGTAAAAATAATATACTTTTATGGTGATAAGTGGATCTCCCTCAAAAATTAAATGCTACATTATTTCTATGCATAAAGCAAGGTGTCTAATGCAGTGAAAAAATTTCCATCCTCCCTTGATGACTCGGTGGGATGGACCAATTGAAAGGGAACAATAAATATGATCTGTCTATAGAAAAGACAGAATTTTTTTTTTTAATCTAAGTGTCAACTTTTTTATTGGAAGAAGCACATACACCCGAAGCATTGAACTTTTTTTTCCTATTGCCGGCCATTTTTTTAATAATAATAATTATTATTATTATTATTATTATTATTATGCTTATGTTGTTATATTTAATAATAAAATAATTTAATATTTTTTTCGATTATAATTTAACTACGATTGAATGATTAGACGGTGAATAAGTTAATTCATTGATTTAATGGTCAGTTCATTTTTTAAAACCTATTAGGAAGTATTTATTTCCTCGTATAATAATGGGCTATATATTTAATTACTAATTATATTATATTATTTAATTTATTGAGTCAAGTAATTTTTTTTATAAAAAAATTCAATTAAATTCTTAATGGGTACAATTAAATAAATAGATACTTAATATTGACCCAACTAAATATAATAAAAGCGTTATGGGAGTATGAGACAATGTAAAAGAACCCTAGTGTATGATTTTCAAGAAGTTGATAATTTCTCTCCTCTATCTTGAGGGGATATTCGTTTTAGAATTCGGTGATTTAATTGAAGAAAACCAAAATCTCAAAGTAAAGGACAGAATCAAGTCGTTTTAATATTTTAGATATGGGTATGTTATCATATGGGTTACGTTCCTAAATTGATCAATATGTAAAATCCTGGTGTTAGGCTGTTAGATGATAAATTTCATCAGGCTTTTTAATATTGAAAATATGTCAAAATCTTGATTCTTTATCATTTTATATAACATGAATCATAGCCGTTCATCCAACCATTCATATGGTAGACTTTATTTTTATATCTGAAGGTCAATGTTGGGTTTAAAGTATTGTTCTTGAAATTTTGTATTTTAATGGTAGCTTTAATATCCGTCATTGATTTTAATAACTTTTTAATGTGTAAGCATTTAGTATTTAAAAATATTTGTTTTTTAATTTTATAACTAAGTTAATAAGAATTAATAAATGATAGTATTTTCTCTTTTCTCTTCTCTTGGGTATAAAAAATTCAAAACAAATAAAAAGGAAATATTAAATATAGTCAAGTGGTCAAATTCAATGGAACGTTGGTAGAATCCACTTTCCAAAGTCTTGTTTTTTTAAGTACAGTTTCCTTTGTTAACTTAAATGAAGCTCATGCATGCATGGGCCCAAATATGACCATCCATTATATGTTGGAATCTCAACGGTCATATTTCATAAGCTCCCAGATTCTGAAGCCTTTTTCATGACCGTTTGGTTCTGTCATTGTTCCTCTTTTTACTCTCTTCTTTTTTCTCAGTTCTCATGAGTTCTATAACAGTTTTATTCCGTCTTTAGAAGCAAAGTCACTTTATAATGATGAAGTGCTTTCTACCTTGTTTTGGTGCTTCCAAACGCCGAAAGCACTTGCGTTATGCCAATGCAACTCTCACAAGAGGAAGAGGCCAAGTAAGCTCTCTCTCATTCCATTCATTCACTCACTTGCTGCACGCACATATTTCACAGCATCTCTTTTTCTTTCTCTTTCCCTTTTAAAGTAACTTTCATTGTTCTCTCAAAATTTGTTACAGACCCATGTCGCAGAAGGAGCTCTTGAACTACAGCAAAAGACTGCTGTTGAAGAACTCATTGATTGCATAGCAGAATCAAAGTAAGCTATCTATATTCTATTCCATCATGAATTGATTGTGACCTCAATATTATTTTTCTTTCCACATTTCATTGTGAATTCAGCTGCTTATTTATTTTGATTAGTTATGTTCCACTTCATTTTAACTTCTACGATTTAATTCAGAATAAAAAATGAAGAGCAATCAAATAAAAGTGCTGAAGTGATATCTACCAAAGAGCTAATAAAAAACTTTGAGGGAATCAAGGAGGAGGAGGAAGAAGAAACACTTGAGATAATATATGAGAAGAAAGATAACCATGGCAAAGATGATGAGAATTCAGAGTCACTGTTTTCTCTGTGCATTGATTCTGGAAAACAAGTTTCGGTTGCCCAGAAAGACGACGAGATTGAAGTTAACAGTTCAATGCAACTCGATGGTGCCCTCTGCACCAGAAAAGAGGTATCTGAAGCATTTGGGTTAACCACAAGTGTTCCACATGTTTCATCAGTTCTGAATCCACTTGAAAATCTTTCAGAGAAGGAGGACACCAAGCCTCTTGAAGAGCAAACAAGTTGCATTGCCATAAGGAAGGTGAATCCCAATGAAGAAGATTCTTCTGCTAAGGAACCAATCAAGAAGATGATGGATGAAAACGAAGAAGCAAGACCGTCGAATCACTCCTCTGTCCCTGAGTATAGATATCGAGATTGCACTGATGAGGGGTACGATGGTATTAATCTAGATGACAGTGATTTCGATGTTACATTTGAAGAAGGTGATGATCCTTCTCCTCACAATAAGAAGATAATGGAAGGGGAAGAAGGCGCTGATGATTACCAAAAATGGGTTCAAGAAGAGTCTTCAGAATCATTGTTTTCTCTATCCAGTTATTCTAGAAAACGAATTTCATCAGCTGAAAAAGAAAAAGAAGAGAACGAAGTTAATAGTTTAATGTCAGCCCATGTTACAGAACAAGAAGAAACTCAAGGAAGGATTCCAGATGTTTCATCAGTGCTGAATCCAATTGAGAATCATACTCAAGGGAGGGTGGTCAAAGCAACAGTGCAGCAGCCACTGAAAAAAGAGAAAGAAAACATCAACTTGATGGTTCTGGATGATGATGATATACTCATTTGTCCAGAGCCTAGTTTGAAGCTGTCAAACCGCAAGGGAAGGCACAAGTTCAATAACAAAAAGGAAGAAACCGTGGTAGACACCAGCCTCTCGAGCTGGTTGGTTGAACCAGAAAACACACCCATTTCCATGAATAGTAGCAGTACCAATTCTGTGGGAGAACATCAACATACACCGAAAGGAGGAAGAGGTTCACCGTTTAGTCATGAGGATAGGCCAATTCTAGGAGCATTGACAATTGAAGAGATCAGGAAGTATTCAATGTCTACATCTTCAAGAAGGTCTAAAAGCCGAAGTCCGGATGAGACACCCATCATAGGTACTGTTGGGAGCTATTGGAGTCATACAGGGTGGAGCATGAACTCGGAAATGGGTGCCAAAAAAAGTGGAAAGGTAAGTTAAGTAAATCTTATTAATTGCATAGTGGATGAACAAATCATTGAATTGCTTTTATTGCAGGATGCGAAACTAAAATGGAGTTCTCCCAAATTAAAAACCAGACTAGAACCTGCGTTCGAAGCTAGTGCTGCTGAAGTCTGAACTTGTGCTGTATCATTCAGTTGTCCTATAGGCTGTAAATTCGGCCTTTCCCCTCTCGTTGGTCATGAAGCGTGATTTTCCATATGGAAATTATTGCCAAGGCATAAATTTTTCACTTTTTTTTATTAGCATATTATTCAGTTCATTGATCATTCGATGCATAGATGATTCAAAATTCTTACTTTCGCCGATGTTTTGTACAAATGGAGTTCAAGCAATTAAGGTCGAGAACAGATGCTTTAAAGATAAAAAAAAACGTCTCAATCTGTACTGTTTTGTTTTTGTATCTGCAGTAGTTCATCGCTGAGCAGAATGAAAAAGATAAAGTCGTATTGTTGTAGTCAGAACTATGTACGAATAAATAAGAGGAAAATAACAAAAATGATGCCTCTTAACTAGCCTCTATACTATAAAAGAAAGAGATTTACATTAGTACAACCACCACCGATAATCTTTTACCCTATACTCATGACAACAATTAGCTATAGCCGGCCCGGGGCCTAGACATCCTGAAATAGTCTCCTTATCTGGTCAACTGTTGCAGGCATCAACGTCAATGGGCAGCGCTTATACTGTAATCAGGAAACAAAAAAAAAAATAGATGGGAAACAAAAAATCAGGTGTAGATGTGAAAGGTATTGTGAGTTGTTGTAAAGTAATATACTTAGGGTGTCTAGATCCCTTACCTGAGTAATATACTTAAATATGCAAGCATAGCAGAAGACAAAACCCGAAACTGTAACTACAGATGGATTTACACGCTTCTGCGAGCACAAGGGGCAAATTGTTCTGTCTGGTGGTAGCGGTATCCCCTCTTTGGCTACCTGTTTTTATATTAGATTCACAGATTCTTTAGGAAATGAACCAGCACAATTTTTTGAATTACTTTTAAATTCTAATTACTGACAGAGTGACATTAGAACATAGGATGCAAGTCGAGCTACAACTATATTGAAAGTAAGCTTTTACAATGAAAGTTGAAATCCTTAATTATTTTTATCACATAGTTCTAATTTATTTGACCAGAATGGTTCATAAGTGCGATTTACAGAACTAGTCAAAACAAGTATTGATGGAGAAAGAGAGGTGGGAGAAAATTTGTTTCTTTACCTTTGGTGGGGGAGGAGGAGGGGGAGGAGGATATACTGTTGGAGCTGACATTCTCTCCTCAGCAGACTGGTACCACCATTCCATCATCTACATATGATTCATATATATTATTTGTTAATGATTATGCTCCTTGGTAATTTGCACATATAGCTAACGTATTTAACAGCACATAAGGCATACTTAAGGACCCTTAGACAGAACAAGAAGTCACAAACTTTAAGATTAACTGAACCACCCAGGCAATCGAATAAGTGGCTTCAGATATGGCTCCGGTGGTAGCAATATTTGACAATTGATCCCAAGCTAGACTCTAATCAGTTCTAAACTTGAAAACTAAGCCAACAATACATACCAAGCTTCCAAATGCTAAGGTTTAAAAAAAATTGAATTATTTTTGACATATTGTCAGTACTTGATGAAGGAAGAAAAACTATCAAAAGGGCTAGCCATCTCACTTTAAAGAAGAACACTGCTGCAATCAAACCGGTTTGGGCATAGTCAAGTACAGTGTACATACAGCTGAGCAGTGCTCCTTGCAATGTCTGCATTATGAATTTCATCATACAATCATTACGTGGTTCGTGTAGATAAAATGGAGCATAAACAGAACTTTATTAACACAGTTAGCACTATCATGCATGGTAACAGATTCATATGGTTATATTAAAAAGGAAAGTGAGGGAAAGATAAAATCATTGCGCTGATAAAAAAAATCACATACCTTCAACCATTGAGGGCCACGAAGTCTCTCACGTTCAAAGTTACGCATCTTCGAAATTCTAGAAGACGTATCCAACTATCTTGACATGAAAGGAGTTAAGTGCAAAATCAATCATATGACAAGAAATGGTAAATTTCTTTTGTGGTATTTTCCGAGAAATTAGAAAGTTCTTAAAGTGCAAAACAAAGCTCGCAAATTGTTTCAGTTATTTATTTGGGTCTCATGTAGTGAAGAAGGCAAATAGCACTACAGTATATATTTTGTCAAGCATAATTACCATGCCATAGAACATAGTTACATGACAGATTGCGAAGACACTCATGGATTCACACACTCATTGCATTTTAAACAAGATTTGGTATTCTTGAAAGGACCCTGCATCAAATTAGCAACAACTGCAAACATAATCTAATATGCCAATAGAATTTCTTCCGTTGTTCCACTCATTAACCACTTTAACAAACACGCATATGCAAACAACAAAAAGAAAAGGAAAAATACACTCAGTTACAAAAAAGCAGAGTAAATAAAAAAGTATGCTTGAGAACCATGATGGTATTCATGTCGAACAACATAAAGAAAAGGCAAAATGCACTCAGTTACAAAAAAAAAAAAAAGCAGAGTAAATATAAAAGTATGCATGTTTCACAGATAAAAAAATGCATGGCTGACAAATTTTTTTTAAATAATACTCAAAAAAATAAAGACTTTTCTAAATGCAATATCCTAAATGTCTACCAGTTCTTGCCCTGTAGCTCGGCAGACATGAACCCCAAGCACATGAAGTGACAGTGAGTAGTATCCAGTAGCATCCAACAGGTATAACAGCTGGTAAGCAAATTGCAAGCCTGCATTGTAAATATCTTATGTTAGATGTTTAGGGATATCCGGACTAGAGAATTAACTGGGTCAGATAAACTGTATGAACTTGAAGAAAACATTGAATTCCTATGCAATCAAAAAATGATAAATTGCATGAACAGTGAAATTGTTAATAATTCATGATAGAGTCAATTCTAAGTCTCAGGCTCTGAGTAAATAGTGATTTCACATACCCTCACTAGTAGCATGTAACCATGGGTAGCAAATTCCAACAATTTTCTGAAGTCTCTTTCTGATGCGTGTTGTAATGGAGGAATCAGCAGCATCAAAGGTTGCCGTAGACACTGGAGGGTCTAGTTCAAAACCTCGTGGGAGTGGGACATCATATCCTTCATTTTCATCTCCCCATAGAGTGGCTTGAAGCCTAGCTTCCCTTTCCTTGTTGTAGATTGAATGCAATTTAGATTTCAAATATGGCAACACAACCTGAAAAGGAATTTTTGTGAGACAGTGAATTGGAGGAATTAAGATAAGCGAAGCGATTAGGAAAATAAAGGGAAAGATAAAAAGAGTACCAAAAAAACAACAGAAAGAACTTTTTGGCGCCTCCGTAAGCCATTAGCATCATTGTTGAGTCTGATATTGGCTTGTCTTCTTCGGAGGCCGTATAGGGATTCAGAAAAAGAAGCATCTACAAGTGCAATTATAATTATTAAGATTCAATGATTGTGATTGTGTTGTTGTGTATGATGAAGTGACTGTGACCTAACCTAACCTAACCTGTGTTTCGTAAGCTGTGAGTTTCGAGGAGGAGCATGAGTAAGGAGAAAGATTCATCTTCAAAGTCTAAGAATCTGTGAAGGAAGGGCCTTCGCAACGCCAACACACCCATTGAGTACGTTAAAGCACCGCGCACACTCACCGGAAGCTGTTGAGCCGCCGCCATCTCGAAGAACGTCGGACGACTACCTTGGCCCCCCACCTGCAACAACATCTCTCTCTCTCTCTCTCTCTCCTCCAATGCCAAATTCAATTCCAATTCGATAAATGAAACCAGAGCAAATCAAATTATTATTATTTAGATATTTTACATTTAAATTACAAAAAAAATAATTTTCTTTTAAGCGACATTTGATAAAGGAGATATTTTTTTTCAGGAAAAAAATATTTTTTGGGAATATAGTGGGAAATTTCTTTTCCTCTATAAGTTACGAAAATCTATTTAGTAGGACAAACTTTTTCCCCAAAAATTGGATAATTTTAATAATGTTACGTTTAGTTGATTGTAAAATATTGATGGGAACCTGCGTCGAAATGACAAAATTATCCATTTTTACACATCTGTTTGATATATGTATAAGAGCATTTTTGTCACAAAATGGAAAAATGTGTTTCCAAGTTGGTGGAAAAAAATAATACCATGGGTGGAATGAGATTATTTTTTTCAAAGTGTAATTAAAAACGAGAATGATAGGGTAAAAATATCCTGAGATTTTTTCTTTTACTCATACCAAACATGTTAAAAAAAAATTTCTCACCCCACTTTCCCAGCATTTCAAGCAAAAAAAACTTATACCAAACACCCCATAAGAGTAAAGAAACTTTTGGTCTTCAACAAAAATCACAGGTCATTTTAATTCGTTAGAAAAAAAAGTTGACTTGTGATCCCTTAAATACAAAATAATCCAAATTAGTTGAAATTGTGATCTATTTGAAATTAAAAAAATTCACATTAGTCGTACAAAAAGACTAATATGAGTCTATTTTGAATTTCAAAAGAATTACAAGTCAATTTTTTTCCTAAAAGATTAATTTGGGTCGTGTGACATTTGTTGTGGATTCAAAAAGTACTTTACTCTTTTATTTTATTGTTTGAGGGTTGAGATAATAGTCTGTTTGTATTTTTTTTTTTAAGTTATAAGCAACTTTTAAGTTAAAGTAAAAAAAAAAAGCTTAAAAAAAATTAAAAATTATTTGATAATTACATAAAAATTTTAACTTAAAAACACATATTTCAAGAAAAATCTCTATCTATCTCAATGGTTCTTCATTTCAAAAAAAGTCAACAAATCAAGAAAAGCTGATGAGAGCTTTAAAAAAGCTTATTTTAGTGCATGTTTGGATTCTTTCGTTTTTAAGTTAAAAGTTACTTATAAGAGAAGTTAGGACAAACAAGTTTTAAAAAAAGCTCTTATAATGAAGAAAAAAACTAAAAGTCAAAACCTCCTAGGGGAATCTTTTTTTTAAGCTCTTATCAATTTTTCTTGAATTATGTATTTCTTTTAAAAATAAAATAAAGAGAGAGAGAATTTTCTTGAAATATGTGCTTTTAAATAACTTTTAAGCTAAGAATTTTATATAATCACCAAACAACTTTTAATTTTTTTTTAATCTCTTTTTTTAGGTTTAACTTATAAATAGCTTTTAACTTAAAAAAAAAAAAAAATCCAAAGAGCTTTTGACTTTTTTATTCATTATAAAAAAAGAAATTTTCTCATAACTTGTTTGGCTCTTTTTGCTTATAAGGAGAAGAGAAACTAAGAATAAGAGTATCCAAAAATGCCCAAAAATATCAAGCTAGATTATTTTTTCATCTCATTTTATTCTTTAAATCATATATTTTTTTTTTACGTCTTTCAAGTTTCAATTCCTCTCCATTTAATATCGTTAGATATGCTGGCATAACTTCGTTTATACTCACCCTTACTGTTGTTGCGTCCTGTTATCCCATTTCATTTTTACGGTAAAGCTTTTTCATTCTATTTATTGTTTTGTATCTCATACTTTGTATAAGATTTCACCTAGTTATGGTAATAAAATAAGGATGGACATGTTCAATGTGATAGATCATCGAAATTAAAATATGATGAAGTGAATGAAGAGCTAAATCATTTCTGGCTATATTGGCAGCAATTTCCTAATAAAAGTTTGCAGCAGTTATATTCAAATGACATTTTCTGGTCACTATTTACCAAATAGAGAATACGCAGAAACCTTTTAACGAGACTCACACCCAATAATAGAGAGTGAATTGCTAGCATTTCTCACTCAACAATACCCAAAAGTACCAAAAAAAAAAAAAAAAAAAAAAAAAACCTTTTAAGTAGACCAGACATAATAATTCATTGAGTTGTCAGATAACCTTATAAAATGTTATAACCACCTAGTTAAAAGTTAAAACATAACCGGATCCAATAATATTTTTACAAGTTCCCCGGAGTCTAAACATCAACATCAACAACACCTTTAACCCAAGCTCCCCAGAGTCTAAACATGTCCAAGAATATAAAACAAATCCAGAAACCAGAAAGCTACTGTGCAAATTGAGTGTGTCGTCATTATGATAAGCAGAAAGGGTAATCCAAACATATATTATCCATAACATCAGAGCTTGTCATCAACACTTCACCCGTTTAGTGGGTGGTGCAGCATATTGATCTTCTACCGCCTCTTGTTTATCCATAACATCAGCTTCACCTACCATATGCTTTCTGCTTGCATCCTCCTGGGAACTTTCTTCAGGCATGACTTTCGGAAGGCTACTGTTGCTTCCAAATTTGTCATGTTCCTCATTTGAGGTTTCTAGATTGTCTGCAGGCAGCACCGTGTCAGATAGTGCAGCAGAAAGCTTGTCCAAAGGGGAAGAGGAGCCCTTAACCTTGCTGTCACCCATCTCTCTCTGCTTCTCAAATATCATCTGCAGATGTTTCCCTTGGTTTTCAATTTGAATCTGCAACGTTCTTTGAATCTGCATAACAACTAAAATATCAGAATTATGCCAGAACTTGAAGTTCCTCTCCTCCCAACAAGAAAGAAGGAGAAAGCAAATAAAACGCCCCCTCCGGATTACAGGGCACAGACATAGTGAATCTCTCAAGTACTGATAAAGTACCTCAAGTTGTTCATGAAGCCGCTTCTGGAGTTCCATCTGCAACCGTAATGCTTCAGTGATCCCCTTACTCCTGCAACAAAAATCCAAGGTATTTTTCTGAGCCTTACTGTTCATTTCAAGGCTAAAAAATCATAAGGAACAGCTGTTTATATTCAGGATAGAACAATAAGTATCATAGTAACAATGAAAATCAAACTTGTATGGGCCATCTTATTAGTACCAATCTGTGTTAGATTATATCTTAAATTCAAAAGGGCAGATCAACTTACATCATGGTATAAGAATAAGGAATTTATACCTGATCTTAACCAGGGATATACTTGTATCCAATAGTTCACATAATTAATAAATTAAAGTCCTTATATATAAGTTGGATCAATGGCCAAGATTGAGAGTATAACCTACACTCGTATAAAATAATCCTTCCCCAATACATAATAATGAGGAAAGTTACATTGAGTGCACAATACACTTGGTTTGATGCATGCAACAAGAGCAAACGATCCATACCAAAAAAAATGATCAGTCAATAAGGGTCGATGCAATAGCTACAAATTACAGAGAGAGAACTCACGTTTTCAAGTCCAGAGATTTCATTTCTTCGATTGAAGTTATCTTTTTCTCAGAAGTTCCTGCAGGTAGAGAAAAGGATCTCATTCACACTCTTACTCTCATATTTTGATCAAAACTAAACAGGAATTTATGTATGCTTCATATGTACTGACACTCCAAAGAAATGGTATTACTGAAATGCATTGAGAATAGAAGCAAAAAAGCATTCAACTTTACCCTGTGTCTGGATGAGGGAAACGGAGGGGGGAAATTGAATTTTGAAATGAAGATCAAATTTGAAGAGAAAAAATTGAAATTTTGTTTCTAGACAATTCTTTCTTCCCTACTAATCTTTTCATTTCATCTTCAACAAATAAGAGAAATTTTCCAATTTTTAAAATGTTTTTTCCTCCTTAATTTCTTTCTCTCAATCCAAACATAGGTTTAAGGAAGTATGAAGAAGGACAACACATACAAAAAATGCATTTGATACTGCAAACTGAAGATATTTCTTAAAACTTTAGGGGGTGAGGAAGCCCCGAAAATCCAAAAGATACTTCATGATAAAACTTGGTTATATCAACAATAGAACTCATAAGTACACTTTGGCATACCCTCTGGTGACTCAGGTTTGTATCTGGCAGTTCTATACTTCTGAAATTAAAAGAACAAACAATTTTGGAAAAACATTAGATTAAATAAATTAACAGACAGACCAACAAGATATTTAAGAGGAAGAAAAATCAGATGTACCTGTAGGTGGCTTTTTACATGATAGATGGTAAGGCCGTCAACTTTCATCAGATTCAAGACACCCTTTGGAGTAGCCTCTGCATGTTAACACCATGAGATGACAAAGAACATTATAGAGAAAAGGTCAAGGAATATGGATTACAGAGAAGTAAACATACTCTCACTACCACCAAGCTGATTGACTGCTTCTACAAAGGCCTCGTGAAGTTCTGGAGTCCAACGCATTCTAGGTTTAGTTTGCGGTGCAGTCGATGCTGAATTAGGAAGACCATTAACTTCTCCAGATGGTATAAGCTGTTGCTGGGGAACCTGGATCGCCTGCATCGAAAAAATAGAATATGATTGTGTTAGGACCCATTTACAAGGTATGGGATTTGGAGTCCCACAATGGATATATGGGCAATTAAAGTGGGGTTTATAAGGCATTGGGCACTCTCACCCTTTGAGCTAGTTTTTGGGGTGAAAAATCCCAAGGTTCTTATCAATTGTTAGTGTGGTGAATTTAGATCTATATCCCTTGAAGGGTGAAGTATATTGCTATGGAGGTGCTCTTAGAGGCAATGGTATGGATCAAAGCTCCGGATGGAGTCACCATATGTATGTCTAATAGATGGCGGAGAGAAGAGAAATGTGTAGTGGGTATGATGACTCTATATTTTGGCAGAGTAACAACTCATAAATGCAATGGATGCAAGATGCCCTTTCAATGGATGAAGATGATATATATAAATGGAGAAATATTCCTTGATGATGAAAGAGAAGGAGAGCCATAACTGTTTTTGCCCAAGATCTCATTTTGTGCGTGAGGTAGCGCACCACCAATATGTATGATGGTGAGCTATATTGGGGGTGAGAGGTCCTCTACTATAATGGTCTATGATTCTCACTTTAGGGAAGCAAGGAAGTGACCCCAGGTCCTCTACTATAATGGTCTATGATTCTCACTTTAGGGAAGCAAGGAAGTGACCCCTTATGTGGGCCTCTTAAGGGTAGAGGGAATGAACTATATACACAAATTTACATGCACATGGTGACGAAATAAATTGATAATAGATCTAAGCATCTAAATGCATCAAAATATATCACAACCCTCTCCATGCAGAGAAGTGAATGAAAGGTGAAAATTTGATGACAAGCACAACAAGGAATTTTTTATGATTATATCCATAATTATGGAGATTCATACACATCAATTAGTTTAGTCACTTATCATTATACGATAAACAGACCAAAAAATGACTTGATTTTCATCTGCATCAGCACCTAGTTAATGTTTGAAAACCATGACTCTTAGACCACAAAGAGGAATTCAAGAATGAGATGCCACTACATGTTCTAGTAACTTCACATGTAAGAACAACCATTGCAGTACTATTGAAAATGACATTGAGAAAGAAACCTTTGGTTTTGGTTCTGCTACATTGTCATCAAGAAGCTGACTCCAATTTGGCTGAAGAGAATCATCAATAGACATTAACTGATCAACCCACTCCCCAAAATCAGATTTTTTGACATTGTCATCATTCATGTAACAAGCACTGTTTTCCACCTGATCATGCTGGACAGAAACATTTTCAGGAAAACTAAGAATATCCTGATACGGATCTGGACCCCAGGAAATATCATCCCTTTCTTGAGGATGAGAAATGTATGTTGTTGAATGTATTTCAGAAGGCGCATTGTCACCTAATGTCTGAGAAATGAAGGGAGAATCTCGATATTGCCTATCATGCTGTGAAGCAGGGGAAAAAGGGATGTCACCAGGACATTCAGCAGGGGATGAAAACATCTGCCCAACGCTTCTAATCAAATTTGATGATGTAGCTTGCAGTGAGGCAGGATTTGCAGTCAGATCTCTGACAGGCGGTGAAAGCTGACAAGAATCAGGAGGTTTCATATACTTGTTTTCCATGGGAGTGGGAAGAACAGGAGAAGATGAAGACATAACTCTTGAGGCTCCTCCAGTGAATCAACTTTGTCCTGATTTCAATATGAAAAGCAGGTTGTATGTCAGCTAATCAACCACTAATAAAAAATTATCTTTACCACCAACATAATTGGACAAAATATACAGCACTTCAGCAAGCAAGCATTTTTTTTTTCATATCTCACTAGTCAAGATTGTATGCTGTTTGATCCTCTGAGAAGTAACTAGTTTAAGTCATAAAAGCACTAGAAAACCGATAAAAGTAATGCGACGCAGTTATCCAACACCGAAATACATAACAATTTTCATAGATATCACTGCAAGAATGGCGAAAGATTTTTTTAAAAAAAAAGTTTAAAAGATAAGCTAGCTATAACAAGCTTAAAAGAAATGTAATTGGAATCATAATTGCCTATAACTTACGTGGGGTACAAAAGGAAAATCCGTGGCACCTTTACACAATATGTACACCAATTAAGCCTTGAAGCTTACTCTTGAGAATAAATTAGATGTTAAAATCGCCAATGTAAATAAGAAACTTAACATACAGCGCAAGTCAGTATATAGCACAGATAAAAATCATAGTTAATAATAGTCAGACAGTATATCCAACCCCAAAAGAAGTTTTTGAAAAAAGAAAAACATTTCCAGATAGCTTGAAGCCATGAACAAGAAGCCGACCATACTCATGAACATAAACATACATGTGGCAATTATGAGTTGCTATTAATAATGACAACTAAGCAACTCAAAGACCAAACTAAAAAATAACAATAACTCCCCCGGATAATCAATTGTCAACCTAAACCAGTTCTTCCATTAAAATTAAAAAATAAAAATAGTGCTATAAAACTACCCTCATGCGCAGGGTTAAGGGAAGAGTCAAACACAAGGTCTAAAGTTAAATTTAAAATGATTCCGCTTCAAGCATCGGTGGCAGAAGGGAGGCTTGGGGAAGAAGATGAGTGCCATCAAATTAGAATTCACCGTTTAAAACATTGACATGTGTCAGAGAAACATAAGAACCGCCACACCACAATCTTCCCAATCACTAATTCAAGAGAAAACAACCCACCACCTCGCAAGATGCCTCTTTTGCTTAGACCCGTAATCGTTTATTGAAGCCACCCAATTCAAAACCACAACAGATCAAAAACACACTTCCAGATTTATAAAATTTTAAAATAAAAATAATAATAATTAAAAAAAAAAAAAAAAACTGAAGTTTAAGAGATGAAAGCTCAAATTTATAATCTTATCCAAAAATAAAGCCAACCCAAAAAATAATAAGCAGCATCCATCGTCTTTGAAAAAAATAAAAATAGAAAAGGGAAGTGGATGTATTGATTATGAGATAAGAGGAGGAGAGAAGTTACCTATAAAATGATGATTAGTATGGAATTGGGAAAAACCGGTAAGAGAATCTGAAAAGTTGGGAATCTTACCTAAACGGAGGGTATAAGAGAAGAGAAGAAAAGAAGAGGAAGAAGAACATGAGTTGTAATGCTCACGTCTTTGGGTTTGTCGTGTTTAACTCAAACAAACAATCATCGAACCCAAACTCCCTTCGTCCCTAGCTTTCGTTTTTTTGATTCTATTTCTTATGATTACTGCCAACCTTGTCTCTCTCTATCTCTCTCTCTCTCTCTCTCGTCATTGGATAAGTGAAGCTAAAAACCCTATCCTGCGGCTCACACGTGTGCGTATTGTTCATTCTGGGCCGTCCGATTCCGCTTCATGTTTTCTGATGCGTTTCGAGGTGATTGTTCCTAGTTGTTGTTGACTTTTAGAACGAAAGGATAAATAACGAGATCAAAAATTTATGATAAATGCTACCGAGTACTTACTTTTACGTACTTATCACTTATTTAAAATTTAAAAAAAAAATCTTAATTTTTTTTTATCATAATACAGATTTTTATTTTTTATTTTTTATTTTCTAATTTCTTAAAAGAGATTAATTTTTCTTATATTATAAAAGATCAAATTATTTTATGTGAAATATCTATATATATAGAAAATAATTTTATATTTTTTATAAAATACTAATCCCTTATTAAAAAGTGATTTTAAAGACTATGGTTAAAATATCCGTAATTTAAAAAAGCAAGGAGAGATGAAATAAAGTGCATTTTGGCTGCTGGGGATTACGAAAGGCTGCTATTGAATGGTCTGAGGTGTGAAGTGTGCAGTGAAACTGGAGATAACTCCAAGTTGTCCAATCATTGTCACTGTCTAATTCCTTTTGAGAAGTTCATCGTGGCACTGCTTTGTCAATTTTGTGGAAAATAAGTGGAAACTATGCTCTAATCACTGTAGCAGCACTCCGTTTACACCTAATATTCTCAAATCTCAACTCCTACTTCTTTTTAATCCTCCACTTATTTGGGGAGAAAAATTTTTTGTCAATGGAGTATCATATTTGAAGGTTTATATTCTTCAAATTTAGTTGAAAATTAAAAGCCTCAATCCCCCCCAAAAAAAAAGGGGTTCGTTACTAGTAGCCCAGGTGCATTGAATTTATATTATCTATCTATATGTAAAATATTATTATAAAAGGAATTTTTTACTTTAATATTATATAGTTTATCTTTAAATTCTTATCATTGATTAGTCATTTAGAGATAATAAACTATTAAGTCTTGCGTAAAAAAATAGTGGAATAAGAAATAGTTTATCTTAACGTATAATGATAGTTATCCACTTGAATCTATTTAGGATTATATGACAATATGCACAGTACATACGTAATAATTCAGTTTATTGATTTTTATGTGCTTTACCTTTTAAAGTAAATCGCGTATTTGACAGGATCCAATGCTTGCACATTAATACTTGAAATGATTATGCTATAAAATACTCAAACGTATAAGCGTCAAAATCATAAACTTTAAAATTGTATAAAAATGGTTATGGTATCGATAAAACAATTATCTTTAAACGGCTAAAACACTAAAGTCTTGGAAAGCTATTGTTTATTAGCATATAAATACCTAAAATCAATGTTATTAAAATTGGTCTAATTATTAATTCAGTCAAAGTATCATATTATTGAATTATTAATTGAATCATATGATCCGATAATTATATGTAAATTTATAATTTATATTAAAAAATTATAAATATATTCAAATATTTGTAAAAATAATATAAATTTTAAATATTTTAATATAAAAATAATAAATTATACATTATTATCCAATAAAGGATCAATTAAACATACAATGCTTGTGATACTGGTGTTTCAGGTTCAGTAAATCACATCTCTAACTATAAATCAAATCAAAATTCTCTATATAGTGCATGACTGAGATAATATTAATATCGTAGGTACATAATTTATGTAAATCAATAAGTAACAGATTACTTAGATATGTTATTTATGCTTATTATTTTTTGAAAAAAAAATTGGAAATTATTTTTTTTAAATAAATCAAGCCGAGTCACTGGTTAACCGATCGGGTCATCAATTTTCATCAAAATCAGCCTGATCGTACCAGGTCTGGTACTTGGCCGATCCAATGTGATAAACAAACCTATCAGATGATTGGTTCACCAGATTCCGGGTCGACCTGATCTATCCGGTCCAATTTTTACAACATTGCCTAAAATAGTATATCAAATCCGGATGCCAACAAAAATGTATATATTTTTTTCTATTTTAAAATAATGTTTAATTTATAAACTAATTGCGATTAAAATTATTTTATTTCAAAATTATTAACTTATTTTATTTTTTACCTTTTATATCTTTATCAAATAATGATTCCAGTAATTAACAAATTTGTTAATATATATATACGTGGACCAGATGATGTATTTACAAGTTAGGAGGTATAAGTTAGTGGTTGTTGTTGGAAATAAAAGATGATATGTTGGTTCCATTACCATGAATTACATTTGTCGAATACGAAGCGAGTCACTAGGAATCTGTTACTATTAGCGCGTGGCTTTCCTTCTTTCCCTATTATCGAGCATCTACTCTACCAAGTACCAGGTCCCAAGAGAAGAAAGTAACTCGTGCAAAACTCACAACCAATACCTTAAAAAGGGCAACGACCTTGTCAAAACTTAAAAGCCAATAATCACTTCCATCCAAGTTTGCTAATACGACACTGTGATTGTTTGTGATGGCAACAGCTGAAGCCATGGCAACGGTGGCCGATAAGGCCCCAATAACCTCTGAGAGAAAGGTCCCTGAAGACTTGGAGACCAAACTCCCCAAACCCTGTAATCTATTTATTCTCTTCTTTTGTTTCCTTTCAATTTCCTTTCATTTTTTATTTGTATTAATGAAGAGATTAATTAAAGAATATGACTTTTTGGACATTCTAGGACCCCAAATGAGGGAATTTTAATGGGGTTTGATCAAATTTTAATGGGTATTTTTTTTGTTTCAGATTTGCCTCGAGCTTTGACAGCCTCTGATACTGAGAATGTGAATGGCACATGGGACCACAAACATAATAACATGTCTGTTCTTCAGCAGCATGCAGCCTTCTTCGACCTTGACAATGATGGCATCATCTACCCGTGGGAGACATATAGAGGTACTCTGAATCTTGTGTATCTTTTGTGTTTTTTAACGATGAAGGTTTAATGTTTTTCTCTCTGTATGTTTACTTTTCTGATTTAAAAACTCTTTCTTCTTCTTTTTTTCTTTTCTTTGATGTTATTTTAGAGTTTTATTTGATATGAAGGAAATGCCTTTCATTGTTATGGTTATAATTTTGCAGGATTCCGCTCAATCGGTTTCAACGTGATTTCTTCCTTCATATTTATGATTATTATTCATGCAGCTGTCAGTTATTCTACTCTTCCTGTGAGGAACTTTTAACATGAAACTGGCCTATGTATACTCAATATACCTTACCATTACTACTCCTACTTACTTGTACATGTTCTGGCTTCTAACACAGACATGGCTACCTTCACCTTTGTTCCCAATTCACATACAAAACATACACAGGGCAAAGCATGGAGGTGACTCGGGGAGCTATGACACGGAGGGAAGGTAAGTCTAGTTAAGAAGAATAACCTGTTGATGCCTGCTTTGGTGAATGTTAACATCAAGTGCTTTGGCTAAAACAAAATTGCAGGTTCATCCCAGCAAATTTTGAAATCATGTTCAGCAAGTATGCTCGCAAAGTGCCTGATAAATTGACATTAAGGGAGCTCTGGCACATGACTCAAGCAAACAGTGTTGCATATGACTTCTTTGGCTGGTCCTCCCTCTTTCTTTCTCTTCTCTACATGTTGCATGCACAATTATCCCACATGTAGAGAATCTTAAATTAAAAAGTAGGTGAATCTTCTTAAACTAATTGCAGGGCTGCCAGTAAATTTGAGTGGGGAGTTTTGTATATTTTAGCAAGAGACGAAGAAGGTTTTCTGTCAAAAGAAGCTGTGAGGCGTTGTTTTGATGGGAGCTTATTTGAGTATTGTGCTAAAGTGCGTAAGGGTACTGCTGGAAAGATGGCATGACAGCTTCTTTGGTAAACTTCTATATCAATATTCAATGTTAGGATAAGAGTATTTACATTATTGTTCCTAACTTGGTGCTTTACTGCAATTCAAGTTCTCCCAAATGATTGTGCTTCCAGGTCTAACAGCTGGACCAGTTCAAAGAGCAAATAAAATTAGCAAAATGCATTTCTTTCCAGCGTCCATATGTCTTGTTACCTTGACAGACTAAGCATCATGTTCAGTTAACCCGGCACAGACTAGTTCAGAACACATATATGATGATTCTTCAGTATATCGTTGAACTGATAACGCAAGTAATTGCATTTATGGAGACAGAGCTATTAAATATATGAAGGTTAAAATAGTTTAATCCGTCAATTGTCAGACATGGATGAATTTTATAGCTGATAATTTTTACTTCAATGCCATTCTTATATGTTCAATTTCAATCACCTTCCTCGAAACCCAAATTTAAACAATGGCATTCGCTGCATTTGCAATTCTTGACTGCTGATAAGCAGCACATTATGTTCCAATGAATGGAAACATTTGTAAATCCGAAGAAAAGCAATCCTTTTTGGGTAATAAAAAAAAAGGGTCTCTGCTTACTTATTAGTTATTACATAATTTCAATTAAACAAAAGTTTTGTTAACGGAAAGACACATGTTAAAGAATAGCATAAGGAGAGGAGTTAATTATCACTGGTGTAACAAAAAAAATCTAATATTAGATTGAATATTTCCATCATATAAAACATATCTATAAAATTTAACATTAATCCAAAATTATTTCATAATTCATTTATATATATCAAAATTAGTACAATACATAGTTTGAAAATATATAAAATTTTAAGCTGCTTAATTAAATCATATGATGCATAGTAATAATCCTAACTTTGTTTTGGGGGCTCCATACAATTCTCCTTTCTCAACACTTTGGCAAAAAGTATATTCCAGGAATTCATATTACACAACGAGAATAACCCATCTTCCTATCATAAATTTGTCCCCTCCCTCCCCAAAATAATCAATGACCGCAGTGCATGTTACTGCAACAGCATGAATAATGAAACACTTGAAAATTATTCACTGTCAACTGTCTGCAAAAAAATACTGACAAGATAAACAATAAAAGTCTCAACTATTCCATCCGTACATCTAGAGACAGGAGTTTCTTAGTTTCCATCTCCAATAATCTAGTTCCTTTCCCGAAAAATGCATATTATGTAAGCAACAGAATCTTCAGGGAAGGTATCAAGAAGATCAAAGACTGCTTCACAAAAGACATGTAATTAATTTTGATAATTTGTAATTATAAAATGTATAAGAAGATACCTCATTGCATAAAACAATTGGAGGCGAAAATAAAACGTGATAAACAGGGAATACCTCAAGAAATTTATTTCGCTCCCCCCTCCACTACTGGTTCAAGACATTGCTTCACTTGGTTGACTTCAGACATTTCTTTTCTTTCTTTTTTTTGGTAAAAGACTTCAGACATTTCTCTTGTTATATGAACCGGATTCTATTTTTCTTTTCCCTATAAGTTGAACCATCATAAATGCAAGTAGAAGCTTTAATATTTTTATATTCAATCAAACAAAATCATGAATATTAAATTAGAAAGAAATAAGCAGTATACTACAGCTTGATAAGAGTGGAGAAGCCTCCCAAACTCAAACCAGACTCCACCTATTTTCACGAGTAAAGATATGATGTACACCTATATTTATACATAGAAAAACTCACACCAGTTTTTGCATTATTAAATTTGCCTTTGAAGTTGGGGATGATGAGTTAAGTAACATGAATATTTTATATATATATCATTATGCAATCTGAAGGCTCTACATATATGATTCTCTCTTTGTTTTTCCAAAAGTTGTTCACATATCAATTCTTACTCTCAAATACTAAACTACCTACTTGGCCTTCCAAAGATTAATTTGACAGTAATTCGGTGTCTCCAAGAATTTGACATCAAACAAGTTTTCCAAAGATTAAAAGTGACATCAAAAGGGTCTTTCCACTAGGGTACCGTACACCAAAATTGATATCAATTTTAATCTTTGGAGGACCAAATCAGTAGTTTAGTCTATTTTCAAGTCACCTGTAGATATAACATTATCTCGTAAGTCTTAACTACCTAGCCTTTGGGAATAGTTTATTGTTTCATTGACAACCCTCCTACAATTTAGACCAATACCATACTGCAATAAGCAAAAGAGTAAGATTTTTTTGTAAAAGAGGGAATTATTAAGAAAGCAGAGTGCAGACCAGGAGGATCAAGAACTCAAAGCATCAAGGATAATAGAGAAATTATAAAAATAAATAAATAAATAAAAATAAGATCAAAAGAGCTCTCTCACCCTTTTGAAAATTTGACAAATATTACACATAGCTAAAGCAACATAGAAAAAAAATTAACTATTATATCCAAAGGAAGGTTTATTGGTAGAAATCATTAACTAAAAATTTCTGCCTAATTAACATGTCAGCAACAAAGCAAAGCTCTGCAACACCCCAAAGCCTTAAAAATGGAACAAGAGGAAAATTTGAGCAAGGGAGATAAATCCACTGCTCACCAAATATCCCAAGTACCCTACCCCACAAATGTGTAGCACTCTCACAATGCAGACAGAAATGATTAATAATTCCATTTATCATATGCAAGTTTTCTTCATCATGAAGATTTGATCAGGAATAGATAATGGACAATAAACATCAATTTACATCTTTATCCAGCAATATGAATTTTTATTATCCCAGGGCCTAAAATGTTAAAATAATTAAAATCGATTATGAGAAAATTTTGATCTGTCATAATTATAATTCCAAAACCATACTATTAAACACTCCAGGGAAGAAAAATAACAAGAATACGTTAGATACAGAAGGTCAAGGAAGAAACTCAAATTCTGACATGTCATGCCATGACTAAGATCTAATTATCTAACGAACCTTTTTGTTTCTTATCACAGCAGAAGGAGCTTCCACAACAACATCGAAATGCTTTAATTGGATGGTCATGGTCATCAAAATCGATACCATAATCCTGCAGATTATTTGACACATGCGTGAGGAAACTTGGGTGTTTGGTACACCATCATCTTCAAATAGGCATTTAGGATTCGAGCAGCTTAGATAATTGAGTTAAATGCTTGTATTTTATATATAAGCATAGGATTACAACATTAACATCTGTGTTGACAACTGGAGTGAGATTAGTAATTAAGTCTCACATTGGTTAGGAATGAACCAAGTAAGGATCATATAAATGAAAAAACTCATAAATTAAGGTTTTGCTTTAAGACGTGGTATAAGTCTACTTATTGAGATTTTAGTTTCCTACTGAGCTCAATGCTGGAGGTCTCATCTGTTTGGCCTCTCCTAGTCTATCATAACAATCTAAAAATTGCAAAAACAAAAGCATGCTTTACTTGTCACCAATTGAAAGTGGCCATTTAGAACTAATGTTTTCAGATAAAATATATAATTGCTTGTTCGGATTATACTAATTTTTAGGAAAAAAATTGCATTTTTTCAAAACCTCTCTCAATAAGACTTTGATTATAAGTTATTTTGAACATATAATAAGCTAATGCAAACACACACTAAAAAGCACAAGTCTTTTATTGGTCCAACAGACTCACCCATGACAGCTCCTCATACGCACTCACTTTCCTGTTGGTAAAGAAGGCAAGCTGCAGAAAAAAGAACAAAACACAAACTAAATGAATGCATCATAAGTTAATTTTTGTCCTCTTCCACTAATTTAAGTAAATTAATCTGGTAAAAGGGAACTATATGAATAAAAAAGCAAGTATCATTACATGATAATAGTGGTGATCAGGAGTCTCCACTTCGACAGGAATGTCTATGAGATTTGCATCAGAGCATCTGAAATGGTGAACCAGAAATTGTCAATAATGGTTCTAGCCTCTGCCTCGATCACTTAAAAAGAGAAAGAAAGCAGACAGTAGATAATAAAGATGCCAAATTGAAGTTTGGTCATCGAAATAGTAATTTTAAATGGAAAACGTGGTTATTGAATTTCACAAGGTAGTATTTTTTGTTCATGGAAGCATTTACACACGTGAACTTTACCTATGATTGATAAATCTTGCAACGTTTCCATTACATGTTGCATCTAAACATAGTGCCTCCTCATCCTTTAACACCCCTTCTGAACCCCAATCTGCATCAAGAGTTACAGGATACGTATGTCTATCATTGCCACTATTGTGCACATTCCTTTCGTCTAACTCTGTATTGGTTAATATTTCTCCTGCATATTCACATACGAAAGTTCCCTTGGGCAAATCTTCTAGTGTTCTAAGGCCCCAGCCCTTACCATCGCAAGTTAAGAACACCTTAAAGAAGAAAGGATGACAATGTACCCATCAAATATCAAATACAAATAATTGTAGCACCAATAACAGCGAATCAAGGGCAAAGTACAGATAAATATATCAAGTAATCAAAGAAAGTAAAAAGTCACAAATAACAAGATATAAGACTTCCTCCTCTTAAACATATTGCAATTCTCAAATTGTATTATTCAGATAATAGAATACCTGCAATTTGCATGTTAAACCTCGTTGCACTATACGATTTCCACAACGCATGTCACATCCGCATTTCCTCCAACATTCTTTTATAAATTTCCTAACCAGATGTCCCTTGCATCGTTTGGACTTCTCCAATGGACACTCTTGACAGTACACAAAATGATGATCTTGAGGATCATCCTTCATAGACATACAAGATGTTAGAAATTCTTCTTTCAACAAACCTTGAGGAGTGTAAGCAAACTCTCCCCCAGTTTCCTGAGCACATGCACAAGGCAATGATAAGGAAAGACAGTCGCCTGAACAATCAGAACAGCAACCCTCATCCGCAATACGAGCCAATGAAATATTTACATTAGCACTTTGGTATATTATATTATGTGGTGTGTAATTAAATTTTGGCAAATCCTCACCACCAATTTCATCTATTAATGATATTTTCACCTTTTCTGAACCTTTTGCTATGTCACTGATAAAATGAAAGGAATCCCTTTCATCTTTAGTAAGAGCTTGCTGTGGCAAACATGTCAAGTTGGAATTTGATCCCTTTCTATAGCCCAACTTCAGATAACTACTGCATAAATCATCTAATAGCTTCACCATAGAAAATTGGGGCTCGATGGTCTGATGAGACCTAAGGTACCTTTTGTCCATGAACTTCATAACCAAATCCAAATTAGGAATACAGAAGTTTGGTTGTCCCAAGGCATAGTCACAATTTAAAGATATTTTAACTTCTCCTAGATGTGAAGAAGCAATAATAATGTTCCCCTTACAAGTTGTGGTGGTGTTGTTGCATGCTGATGTAGCATCTTTACTATGCATATCCTGATCCTCAGTTGACAGAAATTTGATACAATGATTTCCATTTGAAGCCTCAGATAAGCCTAGAGAAAATCGGTAAGAAATTAGCTATGCAGCCATTTTCATCAAAAAATTATAAAACAAATTCAAAACATGTGGAAAACAACCAAGCTTTATTCCACTACGTGCGATCAATCGACGTCTTTGGCCCCTGACAAAAACTAAATTTTAAATAAAATTGTTCAGAGCAAGGTCTTATTTAATAGTTTATGCTAAAGTTTTCTAGATTCTTCCTTTTATCACTTTTGAACAGACCATATTCAATTTGACCTATTTGGATAAGGAAGTCTTCTGTTAGCCTTATTCTCACATGACCAAAACTGCTGAATTGTGGTAGTCTAACTTTCTCTCAAGTATATTTATTACTAATTTTATCTTTCTGTCTATGTTCGTTCATCCACATCGACATTCTCAGCTCAACTTCATTTATTTATTTTCTCATGTTAGAATTTTACTATCCACCATTCACTACTATAAGGCTCCGTTGGTCTTGCATTGTACATGTAAAGAACCACTTCAACCCAAAACCTTAAGGTGTTGAGTGAGGGCCTTTTTAATTATTTATATTATTCTCTAACACACCCCCTCACGCAAGAGCCCTTTGGGCTTGAAGCGTGGATATTGCACAAGCCCAATTTTTTGTTTACCTTTTCTGCTTTTTATTTAATTCCACAAGTGGGGAGCGATGAGGATCGAACTCGTGACCTTATGGTCACTCAAGCTCTGATACCATGTAAAGAACCACTTCAACCCAAAACCTTAAGATGTTGAGTAAGGGCATTTTTAATGATTTATATTATTCTCGTACAATTTTCCCTTTTGAGTATGATAGTCACTTTGCAATCACAAGCTTTGACTGAATGATATTCAACATTTCATTCACCCAGCTTAACACCTATGTGGGAAATACCTATCAATCTTCGATTTTCAACTTCAATATTTGGCTAACTCAGCATTTTGCTAAACTAGCATTCTATATACTACCCCTTCTCAAAGAAAAATCCATTGATTCCAAAAAGTTTCTCTCAACACACTCAAAAAGTACAATTTCAGAAAATGGTGAAGAAAAAAGATACAAAAAAAAATAAAAAAGTCATTCGTAGTCAGAAAAGTTGGCATGATTACATATTACCATTATAATTTGTTGAAATAGGTTGACATTGTAACTTACCTTTCTTGGTTCTTGGCTTCACAATCTCTTTCTCATAATGACCAGAATGCCCTGTGGATGATACTTTCTGGGGATATGATTTTCTATCTTTAGCTGCCACGCAAGGAAAAAGTGAGATATTTTCTACCTCACTCAACATTTTATGTGATGCATCTGAACTAGTTACAGGCTTAATATCTTGCACTAATGTTTGAGATGGCTCAGTGATTTCCTGTTGAGAAGTCTTCGGTGGTGTTTTATTGTCTTCTGCATATAACATTTGGCTTGAGTTGTCCATGGTTGTTGGAACCTGGTCAACTTCATCTACCAAGTGCAGTTTCTGTATGGGTCTCTCTCCACCATGACAACTGAAAGGAGCTTTTCTCTTCCCTTCACCTCCCTATTTGAAGAAGAACATAACTACGTGTTAACTTAAAAAAAAAAAAACCAAAACCAAAACCAAAAAACATTAAAAAAACAAAAGAGCAATTACAAGGAATACACGTATATAAATCAACGGATTTGCATTCATCATTTAACATGACAAAAAAAAAAACCAAAACCAAAACCAAAAAACATTAAAAAAACAAAAGAGCAATTACAAGGAATACACGTATATAAATCAACGGATTTGCATTCATCATTTAACATGACAAAAAAAAGTTTTCTACACACACAATATTTTGTGGAACTCGTATTTTTTGAATAAAAAAATTTACGACACACAAAACGAATCTCTATAACATAACACAATCAATTTTCCTACAACATAACTTTTATAAAATTCATAAATCAAACTACTCTCTGTTAAACACCAACTATGGAAGATGAAGTGAGGATAATCTATATACACAATTTTATTCTTGCATAATTGCAAAAGACTTATTTCTTAGATTCACACATGTGATATTTCAATCACAAAAAGAAACAATTTTGCCACCATTCTAGACTCACTCTCTTGTTTAAGGGATACATCGATATAAGTTTAAAATTTTTTAACACTCTTCATATTTTATTTGCATTTAACAAATTTAGTCTTTGATAAATCAAAATTGTTAAATGCATGTAAAATCAACTATAAATTTTAAACTTACACTAGTTTAGGTTGATTCTCCCCTTATTTACAGGAAGAACTACATTGTTGATTCTATTTGCGTTTAACGGTTATCATCTCCAATAAATTAAAAGGAAAAACTATTCTTATGTCACATGACATAAGTTTTTTCTCCTATACACCTTTTGATAACTGTGTCATGCTTTTCTTTTTTTTCTTTTCTTTTATTTTTTCAGGTGGTGGAACCTACTAGTTTGTCTCTATGACATGAGATAACTATCTCTTTTAACATCAGATTAATAAAACCCTAAATTAAAACTATTAAATACAAATATAATTAATGATTTATAAATGGTTTCAGAGTTTTAAATTTTCACCTATTTGATTTGATCCTCCCATACTTATGAAAGAATCAATTTACATCAATATAAATTTAAAAAACTCTTATATCATTTATTAAATGTTAATTCTATTTGCATCTAACAATCCTTATCTTCAATAGATTACACATGTAATGAAAGTGAAATTAGGGCATAAGGCCGTTTGATAGAGGGAGGAACTCAAACTGGGAATTCTAGTTACTCATATTTAGGGCAGATAAAATGGGCTTCGCGGGGCGGGTTCGTTTTTTCACGAGTTGATGACGGATATAGGCGGAGGCGAAATCTGCTCAATCTGTCAAATGGGACAGGGCGGACCGAGTTTTTCAGCTCACTTTCAAAAGGGAGACTGTGGGTTGCCTTATTTTTTAGTGAGTTGATGGCGGGACGGGGTGGGACGGGCCGCCCTCTTTGCCACCTCTACTTATATTTGGTACAAGAATTTTTAGATTTTTCTTAGAAAAATAAAATTATTGTTAATTAAAATTGTGGATAAGAATCCTATGAAATAATACCACCAAGTGGGTATTCTTTGATTCCCACCTAGTGAATTTTTTTTACATAATTTATAGGACACAGATAACACAAAACTGCTTTAATATTTTCATGCCTCTCTTGTTAAAGCCCTAGCCATGATAATAGCTTGGTTTTACTGAAGACGGTTTGGGGATTGAGAAAGCATATCAGAATTTTTTTTCAAAAATTCATTAAAGGTTAGTTATGTAAAATTAGCTCGCATTCCTAAAAATTATTGACAATCAACTAAACATTAATCTGAAAACTTGAGCTAACATTACTAGGAATATTTTGGCCTACCAAACAACTTTTTGGTAACATTTACGAAAAATTCACTTTCCTAGTATATTCCTAGATATCAGCGTATCCTCAAGTACCATGATTCCCTGGAACAAAAAGATGTTTCCTCTACCAAATACCCTATTTCATAAGTGTAAATTGACTCCCTTTATTTCAAAAAGTAATTTATAAAATATGTTTAAACATATTAAAAAAGGGGAAGAATCCGTTTACAAATTTTTTTGATAAATTTTTACAAATTACACTATCTTCTCCCGGGAGAACATAGTGAAACTAGTATTCTCTTGGAGGAAAATAGTGTAGTTTGTAAGAGTTTGTAAACAAAAAAAATTTGTAAATATAACCTGTGAATTAAAAAATACATAAGGTATTTAGAGCTACCTTATCTTCCTTATACTCGAAGTATGCATCTACGAGTGTGCGATAATTGTCATCTTCAATAAGCTCCCAGCTTTTATCATAAACTTTTAACAACTTTTTCAACACGGGCTTCACCTCTTCGTCAGAAATTCCTAAGGCCCTCGTAGCCCTAAAGGCCTTTATAACTCTTGGATTGGGGGCCATGATAAAGCATAAAGATAAATATCATTACCCAAATCAACACTATCACAAGAGTCACACTTTTACAACAGACCTCGAGCTCCTCCAAATAGCCATTATCAAATTGAGCTTTATATGAGCAAAAATCAATCCTCTTCCTACAGGTTGAATGGATTAAAAGGAAAATTAGAAGGGCCGATGAAATAAACAATTTGCAAATGCTGAAGCAAGCAATTAGAAGAATCGAGACAGCATTTTTTACCTCAACTCGAAAAATTATACTTTGACTTTGATGTATAGATAAGAGCAATCACACACAATTAAAAACAATCAATCCTTCTCCTATGCATCTAGTTATAAATGCATACGAATATAAATAGGTTTAGAAAACCCTAAGCCACAATAATTGCTTATGGGCCCAAGCCCAAAAAAAGTTCAAATATATTTGTGGTTTGCCTTTGAATTATGGGAAAAAAGTATCTAATGTTATTTTAGACAATTTTGTCTAATGTTCATCGAAACGACGTCGTTTTATGGTTGAAAAATTAAAAAATTAGAATCATAAAAAATATTATAACCCTGAAATAACAAAAATACCATGATTTCTGCCTCAAATCGACGTCATTTTGATGAACATTAGATAAAGTTATTTAAAGTAACTTTAGAAAAAAAAACCCTTGAATTATTTACACATCTTTTTCCATCCAAATTCATCCTTAACCGTCTTAGGAAGGGAATTGGATTAGGATTTAAAAAAAAAAATTACAATCAAAATTTATAAGATTGAATTTTAAAGAATTTTAATAGAATTTATAAGATTTAAAATGATAATACGAAACTTTAACAAATATTCAAAATTACAAGAGTTAATAAAAAAATAAAAAAATAAAGAAATGTAATGATATTAATAAAAAAAAGTAAAATCTAATATAAGTTTCTCAATCAGTAATTTAATATAACTTGATGTCCTACTAAGTAGCAGCTCTCCACATATCAATACTAGCCCTCCACGCATTAACATCTTCCCGATTCTGCTATTGGGTTTTACCAATGTGAAAATTATCTTCTTCATTTGGTATCAGAGCTATGCATATATAATTATAAGACCCACAAACTTTTTTTATTTATTAAAATAATTCAAAATTTGCATATAGAACCTAAAGTTCATGATAAAATTTGTTTGGAATTTTTTGCAATTGATATTGAAAATCTTTGGATTTTTGTTCTTGTAATGAGAATTTTTTAACTATATATCATATGCATGTTTTCATTGAGTATTCTAAGAAAATTTCGAATCTAAATTTATGGGTTCTATTATATGAAAGTTTAGAAAATTTCTCAAATTATTTTCAATCAATACATTGAAATCCTAAATTACTTTGGGGCTTTTGCAAACAAGTTTTTAGCGATTTATTGACACAAAAATTGTTTGAAATCGTTTCCTATAGCGAAGGAATTTCGTTCATGAATGTATTGTTATGAAATATAGGGTTTATATTATGAAAGTTTCAATCTTTCTTTAAATCGATCTTATTTCATTGATGTAAAATGAAAATTGGTTTGGGTTTTTTTGTTCCTTTGTTGTTTTCCTAGTGTTTTATGTTATTTTTAATACAAAAATCACATATTTTTGTGCCAAGAAAAATTGTGACCCATAGCTATAAAAATCATTTTTCAAACTTCTAAAAGCTTTTGGATTTTTGCATTTTTAGAAATGGATTAGATTATAATCTCGTTGGTTGTTGTTCATGGGTTATTTTGTGATGAAAATCGCTCAAAAATCTGCTATTTTTGATGTTAGACAAAGCTCCCAGGATGGAATCCGATTTCCAACGGTCTACCTACTAAAGGAAGAAGAAGACACTACAATAAAGAAATATAAAAAAATCACAGGGGTTAGGGTGAGATTGTGAGAGAGACATGTTATTTATATTTCTCACTAAAAATTCTTACAAAATCCACACTAATAGAAAATCTATTAAAATCGTCATTTTTTTAATATTACAAGATTGTTTTTCCTTTGTTTAAAATACTGATTGAATACCACAGGATTTGGACGGTCTCTAAAATAATTTTTTTAAATCCTAATCGAATGTCTCCTGATTTTTTCACAATCCTTTCAAATTCTAATTGAATATCAATAAATTTTGTTGTTCAAAAATAATTCATTAAAATCCTTTAAAATCTCAATCCAATGTACCCCCTTAGAAAGTTAGGGGGTGAATTGGATTAGGATTTTAAAAGATTTTTTTGAGCAAAAAAATCGTATAGATTTTAAAAGACTATTTAGAATTAGAGAGACTTTAAAGACTTTTTTAAAAGACTTTTTTTACAATCAAGATTTCATAAGATTGAATTTTAAAGGATTTTAATAAAATTTATAAGATTAGAAAGGACAATATGGTTTATAAGATTTTAAAAAATCATATGAATTTTTAACAAACATTCAAAATTACAAGAGTCAACAAAAAAGGAAAATGTTATACTTACAACCTATTTTTGTTTACAATATTTTACAATCATATCTTAACCGTTGATTTCTGTCAATCAACGGTTATCATTCATTGTAAATTAAATATTAATTAATGAGTTTGATTTGCGAAAATAATAATCATTGCTTGACGAAATTCAACAGTTAAGTTATGATTGTAAAAGGTTGTAAACAAAAATAGATTGTAAGTATAATCTTCCTCATAAAAAAATAACAAAGAAAAGCAATGAAATTAATAAAAAAAAGTAAAACCTAATATAATTTTCTCAGTCAGTAAAACATAATATAATTTTTAACAAACATTCAAAATTACTAAACAACAGTTTTTCACATATCTAATGGGTTGGAAATTATCTTCTTCATTTGGTACCGAAGCTATGCATATATGATTATAAGACACAATTTTTTTTAATTCTAAAAATAATTCTAAATTTGCATATAGAACCTAAAGTTCATGATAAAATTTCGTTTGGAATTTTTTGCAATTGATCTTGAAAACTTTGGGGTTTTTATTTTACGTGATGAGAGTTTTCTAACCATATATCATATACATATTTTCATTGAATATTCTAAGAAAATTTCGAATATGAAAATTTTTGAGTTTAGTTACATGAAAGTTTAGAAAATTTCTCAATTTTTTTTCAATTGATACATTGAAACCTTAAATTGCTTTGGAATTTTTGAGATACAAGCTTTTAGTTATCTATTGACAAAAAAAAAAATTGAAATCATTTTCTATAGTGAAGGAATTTCGTTCATGAATGTATTGTTACGAAATATAGGGTTCATATTATGAAAGTTTCAATCTTTCTTTAAATTGATAGTTTCATTGATGTAAAACGAATATTGGTTTGAGGGTTTTAGTTCCCTTGTTATTTTTTTTACTGTTTTATGTTATTTTTAATACAAAAATCACACATTTTTGTGCCAAGAAAAACCGCGACCCATAGCTTGAAAAATCACTTTTTAAACTTTCAAAATTTCTCAAAAATGTCTCAAAAATATGTTATTTTTGAGACAAATTATATTAAAATCTCGTTGGTTTGTTGTTTCTGGGTTGTTTTGTGATGAAAATCGCTCAAAAATATGTTTTTTCTTAGTTTTGACGAAGCTCCCATGACGGAACACAACTTCGAGGAGTCAACCTCTTGCCAAAGGAAGAAGAAAACACTGCAATAGAAGAATCTCAAGAAATCATAGGGGTTGGGGTGAGATTGTGAGAGAGGCATCATATTTATATTTTTCAGAAAAAAGTCTCACGAAATTCACACCAATAGAAAATCTATTAAAATTGTCGGATTTTTAGAAAATCCTAGGGGTTGGGGTGAGATTGTGATTCCATTGTTTAAAATCCTGATTGAATACCAACGCATTTGGACAGATTCTAAAATAATCCTTTAAAATCCTAATTGAATACCACGTGACTTTTTTTCAATCCATTAAAATCCTAATCGAATACCAACGGATTTTTTTATCCTAAAACAATCCATTAAAATCTCGATCCAATACACCCCTCTTAACTATTATGTCTATTTTACCCTTTTTACGAAAATACACTTTATTTATCTTGTTGTCATCTTCTTTTCCAAGTTTTGCACGGATTTTTATGATACAAATTTTCTTTAGTTTCAGACAAAATTTATGAAGCGCCTACAATAAGGATTTTTATTAGAGTAATTGTTTGCATAGTTGAAAATATTGTCCATTATAGTAACTTCTATTATATTGCTTAATTCCATTATTAATCATGTTTAAGTTCATTTAGTCCATTTAGTGGGAAGAGAACCATGGTAGACCAGGAAAACCCTGTCAATATACTCTGTGACCCGGGAAACCTTGGCAATCACAAATTATCAAATTTTGCCATCACCAAAACATCTGTTCCTAGTGTGCACACATCTTCCCAAAGTTGCTACTACTATGTAAAGGTATTATCATCGCGCAAGGGATATGAACCCACAAAATTCACATTCCAGATCCATGATCTCGAGGAAGACATAAATTATAATATATCATGACAGGATTATTCATTGAGGTCAAGTCGTAAAAGATCGCGTCATGACCAAGAGCTTATGTTAATTTTAAATCAGATCGAAAAAAATACAAGATTGAAGAAAATTCCAGCTCCATTGAAAATATAAAGACAAAAAATGCATTGCACCCTGTAGCTCAAACATCAACCTACTAGGCTGGGGGACAAATAAGTTATTTCTCGGAACCAATACTTAACAAAGAATTCAACTTGAGCAAGGTAGCAACATTGATAGCCGAATTCAAATAAAAAAGTTAACATCACACTGAAACTAGCAGCAGGAAACAACATCACGGATACCCAGCCAATACCAGCTACAACCTGGAACCTAATATGAGATTATAAAGTTGAAATATAATATAATATGTACCCAGGCAGCTCGGACACCCGGACTACCGGGCTGGGGGCCAACTGTTATATAAGTTGCCCATATTATATAAAGCCCAATAATGAGGCAATAGAAAGAGGAAACTAATATAATTAAAAGAAAGTATCAATCCAATATATTAATCCTAATACGACAACAATGAACCTAGACTCAGGCTTTCGGAGGAGGCACCAAAGGTCCAGAATTCCACTACCCAAAGGTAAATCCTACATGTATTGACACTTTTTTTTTCTCTCTCTACTGTTATGTTGTCACTGTGCACATACATCACTCCATTGGCTAACACTGTTATTTTTAGTGCACTGATATGCTATACTCAAGGGTATCTAGCTGATAGATATCTGAAAGAGCATTTAGATCTAACATCAACATACTAGTCTCTTGACTAGACATCTTTGTCCCTAGGATAGAATAGGCCCCCACTTATTGAAAATAAAAAAAAATAAAGAATCTTTACACGTAAATTGAAGGGTCACAACATAAGAAAACACTTCTCATACAACATGAGAAGTGTTTTTCCATATATATATATATATATATGATTTATCGTTTGTCCTGTCACCTCTTTATAACTATGTACTCCAAGTACATAGTTATAATATTAAAGTTATTTTTTTCTCACTTTTCATAAAATTTTCATAAACTTGTCGGCTGACGTGGAGAGAGAGAAAAAAAAAATTACTATTAAATTATGTACTCTGGGGAGTACATAGTTATAAGGAGGTGACTGGACAAAATCTTTTATTCCTGGACATTATATATATATATATATATATATATATATATATATATATATATATATATATATATACTGGGCATGATGTTTTCATATCATTGTAAGAATAATAAATCTTACATTCAATTTTAATAGTTATATGACTGAAGTCGCCAAAAGGTGCTCACTTAATTAGTAAAGGGGGTAATGACCTCAAGGTACGTAACAAAGTTCTCGTTATTTAACTATTTATAGAGAGCATATAAAACAATTAACTAATTAAATTAGTAAATCAATAAAAATAATTATATAAATAAAACTTTCATAAGAACTTGCATGGATGTGGTTGCTTTAGGACTCCTTTGGATGGGTTTTTTTTGTATATATGAAAAAGTACTTCTCATTATAAATTAGTTTGCATGTCTGCTTTAAAAAAAAGTCAAAAACCTATTTTTTTTGGAAGCTGAAATTTTAGTTTCTAAAAAGAATAAAAGTCAAAAGTCAAATATTTTTTTAAAAAATATAAATAATTTTAACTTTTATAAAGACTTCTAAAATAAACAAGAAATAAAAGATACTTTTTTTGAAAAAGCCAAACAAACAGGCTGTTAACGGGTTTGACCATTGGAATATGATGTTGATAAACATAAGAAACAATAAAATATAACTCTAGTTATTCTGAAATCATTATACTTATACGTTGAAGTCATGAAAATTCAAAAATAGTATAAACTAATTATTTTTTAACCTTTCATATATTGGAGACATAATTAGTTATTTTCCATTTCCGCAGTTAAATTCAAGCCTGATTTAATGTCCTAATGAAATCTAATCTTATTTAACGTAGGTGTGCACCAACCAAATCGTTAAGATTACCCAAAAAAAAAATTAAAAAATCGTTCAACATTTGGATTTTTGGAGACCACTAGAAGTTCCCAATGACACCGTTGTGGATGATGCATCAAATCCACCGCTGCTTTCTTAAGACTCATAGCTAAGACCGTACATATCGCAGCATAGTTATTACGTTAGGTTATCCAAAAAATAAATAAAAAAACTCGCATTAGTTTGTTTTGTTTCTTCTTCTTTCCCAAACAAGTTAAAATCCTATTATTATTCTAGAAACAGAATAACCTCTTTTCGCTCTGTGTCGAATCGCGACACATGGCTATCGTGAGTGGTCCAAAAATAAAAGGGCCACATTGCCATTCGTTGTTTCCCAATATTAATGAATCAAATCAGAACAACCACTTAGTAAGGAGAAACCTTTCATTGGGCTTACGGCGGGTGAGTGGTTGTGACCACCATACGACGACGACCGACGACGACGACGATCATCGCACGCACACGGCCACCACCTCTCCCCGTCGATAACTCGCCCTCTTAATTGATTTGCATCACCAAGATTCAAAATTTTAACAAACCCCACCAAAAAAGAAGAAAAAAAATAAAAAATGTCCATGGTTACATCACCATTTCAGCTTCTAGAAATCAATCTCATATCTGCACAAGATCTAACACCAGTTAACAAAGCCATAAAGGCCTACGCAGTTGCGTGGTTGCACCCTGAACGCAAATTAACCACCCAAATAGACCAAGTTGGTCACAACAACCCAACATGGAACGAGAAATTCGTCTTCCGTGTCGATGAAGAATTCCTCAATTCCGAAAGCTCTGTAATCATGATCGAGATCTACACGTCAGCATGGCTACGTGATGTTCTCATTGGAACCGTTGGCGTTCTCGTCAGTAACCTCCTTCCAGCGTCTTCACGCGCAGGAAACCGCAAACCGAAGCTGCGTTTCGTTGCTCTGCAGATTCGAAGACCCTCTGGTCGACCACAGGGGATTCTTAACATTGGTGTTGCCCTCCTTGATAGAACCATGAGAAGCATGCCTATCTATTCCGATCTCAGTGCCTCCGCTGTTGGTTATCGTGATTTGATGGACTCCAATAAGAAGAAATCAAATACCAAAGAGAACAGTGAAAGATCGCCTATGGATTCCAACCACTTGTTGACTCTACAACGCTCCCAGAGCGAGAAGAATGACTCCACCATCAATGATTATACCTATGATGCTGCAAGATTAGGTCATGGTTATGTCCTCGATGGCCACGACTCCGAATTGAGTGCACCGTTCCCGCGAAGAATCGGAAATGATGAGTCGCTCTGTTCCGACGTAGGGCCGTCGCCGTCGGTGGTGGCAGCCGCGATTGCCAAGGGGTTGTATCCCTTGCCGCCGGCTCCGCCGCGGACGGCGGAAAGCTCGGCGATTGATGGATGGTCGGAGAATAACAGCACGGAAGGGATGAAGACTAAGATTGAGAGGTGGAGGAATGAGCTTACTCCGGCTTATGAAAACTATGACGTTGACAAGAAGAAGCCCAAGCAAACGCCGAAGCGTGTTGGTCAAACGCCGAGACGCCCCAATCGTCGCAACGGGTTGTTTTCGTGTTTTGGCACTGCGTTTGGGTGTGAGTTTTCGATTACTTGCGGTGGGGGTAACCGCAAGAAGAGGCATGGAAGTGGCAAGGCTCATCTAACAAGTGCATCTGAGCTCACTTATGAAGAATCCTTCATTTAATGAATTGAGGAAAAACACATAAAACAGCAGCTTAGGGCCTGTTTTTTTTCATTTCTTTTTTAAATTTTTTTCATTTTTTTTATTTTTTTAGTTTTGAGAACGGGAAAAAAAAAGAAAGAACTTGGTTGGTAATAATGGGTGTTTTGTAAAAATATTCTAAAAGCAATCGGTGATTTTTAGTTTTTAGAATAGAAATGGAGAAACCTGGTTTCGTTAATTTTTGGTTTTTCAATTGGAGAACACTACATTTTCATTGCGTGCACTGCACTGCCCCGACGCGTCTAGTGGAGTGATGTGGTCGTGGATACATAGGAGGTGCTGTAATTAAATTGGGATGTACCAGAGAAGCAGAAGGAGGGTAGCATCATAAGCATTGCCTCCGTTTGAGAATATCAGGATGCTAAGGGTGTTGCCATGGAGTACTGCTGTTACATTCTTCTGTGTCATCCATTTCATCTTTTCTTTTTTCTTTTCCCTTCTTTTTCTTAACTTAAGTCTTGTGAAAATGTACATTGCCATTCAATTGATTGAGTTACCCAGAATTTATACATATTTTTTAATTCTTTATTGAAATCTTGACATTTTGTTCCCTAATTCATATTTATTCTCTATAACTGCGTGATTGTTGGTCGAATATTATTTTGCAATATTATGTTTGATTTTATGAGTCTGATATAACTCGTTTTGACAATGGCCAATAATATATGCGATGTTACTTCTACTTATAATTTTACCATATCTTCCTGGACCGGTCATTAATCACAATATTATGGGCTGACGATTAGGTCTTAAAAGGAGCTGAATTCCTGCATTTGAAAATATCTTGAGTAATACGAGAGTATTGAATATTTACTACATCTTTTATAATAATTTTTTTTCTATTTTATCCATTTTTTTATGGTTATTATGACTTAAACCTCATTTCCCCTATTTTTAGTAAAGAAGTATATACTCCTATAATAATGCCAAAGATATGCTTATTGTATTCTTAAAATTCAATAAATAATCTTTCATCCCTTCATTTCGAGCATCCCTCTTTTCTTAGTAAAGAAGTATATACTCCTATAATACCAAATATTTCTAGTGTATTGCCTCACTTGCAATGGGGTCCATAGGCCAAATATGCTCAATATGACTCATACCACCCCTCTTCTTCATTAATTAAGGAGACACCTCCTATGCACCACTCACAGCCTTAGGGGCACTCTGACCCTTATCTTCCCCTGGTTCTCAGTACTTATACAATAATTCTATTATTGAACTTTAGTCTATAATACCGTCTTACTAAATCACTGTTATATTGAAATATTATACTACAATAAATCACATCCTTAACACCAAAACAAATTATTTCATGTATTTCAACTACCAGCAGCCACGCCTTGTTAGCATGACTCTGGACCGGGTTGCTCTTGCTCTTCCACACATTAAAGGGAAAGAAATGTAAGGTGATAATTGAACATACCAAATATTTATTGGATCTGTTTTAACGTAATAAAAGCGGCTGGCTTCCCTGGACCAAGATGGCATTAATCAAATGGCAGTAAGTAAGTAATCTTATTCTCGGTGGTGTGAAAAAACAATGGCGCTCCTGAATTCCAATGTACGAACCCAAGCAGGACCAGTAGTATTTTCCAATTGTGCGGCGTTACCTGGGTATAGCAACGGCTTTTATTTGGCGCAGGAGGCATTACTTTGTCTTGTTGGAACGTCGTATTGCAATTATTGTAAATAACTTATCTTATATGCAGTAACAACGGAAAAAGTGAATCCTAAATAAATTATGTAAATACATTTTTTAAAATCTTTATTTATTAAATGAATTATGTCTTTAAAATAACTAAGTTTGATGATTTTTTTATTTTATTATTATTAATTTAATTTTAGTATATTATCAGCACAAAAATATTTTAATCTTATATTATTATTATAATTATATTTTTTTGGGATTATTATTATTATTTTAATTTTTTTAACAAAAGTGGTTTAAACTTTGGGGTTTGATTTTTTCATGTTAAATGAGAATTCAATTCTTATGTTGTAGAGATAAAAAGAATGTGGGACCCAGGTGTTAGAAAAAATTATATGTAAAAAAAATTAGAGTAAATACTCTTTTTGGTCCCTAGCAATATTAGCGAAATCCATTTTAGTCCCTGACAATGTAAAAGTACCAAATTGGTCCCTAAAGTTATGAAAAAAGGGCCACGTTAGTCCTTCTGTTAACTCCTCCGTCACGGTCAAACTAACGGTGCTCATGTGGCACGTTATCTGCTGACGCGGACTCCACGGTGGACACGGTGGAAAGCTGGACGACGACGTTTTGAATGAAAAGGATAGTAAAGCTTTCCAAAGGACAAACGACGTCGTTTTATTCTTCAGAAATGAAGAAGCACCAACACTGCAAGTAACCGTGGAGACTCATTTTTTTCACTAAGTTATTGCATATGATTGGAAGACCATTGTTGACCTCCACTGGAAGCTTCGTTGAACGGTGAGGGTTGTCGAAGACGGTGGTTGCAGGGAAGGCAATCAAGCGTGGACTTTGAAGGTTGTCGAAAGGCTGGTCCTGTGGTGGTTAAGGGAAGTTCGAGTGTGCTGGTTTTCTTACATGCAGGTAAGTGTTTTTTTAGGAAATCTTCAATATTTGTGGTCCCCCAACACCTGATGTTGTCTATTCTTTGTTGGAGAATGGTCCCCCATGTGCGCTCCATTGTGAGTTATCATGGTTAGGGTTAAAAAAAAATACCCATTTATGTATGTGGTCCCCTTCATTACCGGTTTGTAAAGTATATTGCCATTTTTTAGTGCATTGTGGTCACCAATTTTTTAGAGCATGCATAATTTGTAAAGGTGCAATTTTTTTCCACGTTATTGGCTTGTCCCCCCTCTCGGCAGTGATGAGTTTGATGTACATGGTTATTGCCATTTTTTAAATTGGTTTGTGGCCCCTGATGTTCGCATGAATATATTGTAATTTACAGCCCTGTGTTGCTTTTTTTTCCAGATGGATGAATACATAGTGATAAGGTATCATCATGGGGGTGTGTTGAGGAGAGATGATAAAGGGGTCCTAACCTATGTAAATGGCAAAATGGTTGACTTACCTGAGATGGATGTTGACTTCGTCAACCTGCGTGACCTTGATACTCTGTTCAAGGGTCATGGGTATGAGACGTGTAAGCAAATGTTGTGGCTCATGCCAAACGCAACGGATTTAGATGTAGGTTTAAGGCCTTTGAATACAAACGCTGATATTGTGGAGATGGTCAAGGCTGCATTGAGTAATGGAAATCTCATAGAAATTTATTTTGAAGATTGCATTGCAACCCCTGTCTATGTTTCACCAGAAGAAGTTATTGCACATGCACATGAGGGTGGCAGTGGTGGAGAGGAGGATGAGGGTGGCAGTGGTGATGGGTTGGAGGATGAGGGTGGCAGTGGTGATGGGTCGGAGGATGAGGGTGGTAGTGGTCATAGGTTGGAGGATGAGGGTGGCAGTGGTCATGGGTTTTCTACTGATTCAGAAGATAGTGTGGAGGATGAGGCAAATAATCCTCCTCCACCTATGTATGATACAGAAACAGAGAGTGAAGAGGAGTGCGAGGGGAAGGGTAAAGCTGCTGGAAAAAAAAAGCAAAAGAGAACGAAAAAAAAGAAGGTTGAAGATGTGGCAAGGGAAGATACAATGGAAGAGGAGGAGAAGTCAATGTCTTTCGAGGAGGGTGGGTATGGGTATAACTCTGAAGAGTTGAACACGCCTCCTTCAAGTGGTGCTGAAGAGGATGAAAAGGTTGTCAATCCAAAATTTAATGTGCATGAGGATTTTGGTCATGTGCACTTAGAGGTAGGAATGGAGTTTGCGAGTCTTCAATTATTTAAAAATGCTGTCAAAGACTACAGTATTGATCTAGGAAGACAATTCAAGTGGCTGAAGAATGACAAAGTAAGGGCCCGAGCAAAGTGTAGTAATGATGAATGTGATTGGACGATTTACTGTTCGTGGAACAACAAAATGAAAGCTTTCCAAATCAAGACTTTTAATAACATACACACTTGCTGCAGACTTTTTAGAAACAAGAGGGCAAGTAGGGATTGGGTTGCGAAGAAGTTAGAAAAAAGGCTAATGACACAGCCGAACATGACAAGGGCTGAGGCCTACGACCACATGAAAGAGGAGTACAAAGTTCATGTCCATTTGAAGAAAGTGACCAAAGCACTTCAGAAAGCCAAGGCCAAAATAGAAGGGTGCGAAAAAGAACAGTACGCAAAATTGAGAGACTACTTAGGTGAGCTATTGAGAAGCAATCCAGGGTCTACATGTCAAATGCAAGTGATCCCACAACCTGATCCGAACTCCTCTCCCATATTTTCTAAGTTGTACATTTGTCTGGATGCATGCAAGAAAGGGTTCAAAGCTGGCTGCAGGCCCTTAATTGGTTCAAAGGATATTATGGAGGTCAATTGTTAAGTGCAGTTGGTGAGGATGCCAACAAAAGTTTCTATGTCATTGCATATGCAATTGTTGATAGTGAAACAAAAGAGAACTGGAAGTGGTTTTTAACCCTATTACAGGAAGATATTGGCCCTCACGCAGTGTTTGGATGGAATTTTATTTCTGACCAACAGAAGGTGTGTTAAGCTTGTTTCATTTCAACTTGCTTAAGTATTCAGATTGATCCAATTGTTGAATGATTTTTTTCTGCTGTTATTTACCTGCATTGCTGACCCTATCATGATTACATAAACTGCATTTTTAACTGCATTGCTGATGTTAAGTGCATTGCTGATGTTTAGTGCATTTCTGATGTTAAGTGCATTCCTGATAATGTCAGGGACCAATTAGTCCCTCGTGCAATTTGTCAGGGACCATAACGACCCTCGATGGCAATTGCCAGGGACCTATTTGATCTTCGTCTATTTGATTCAGCAACACTTTGTGGCAATCTATATATGTTTTTGTGATACCTTTTTTTTTGTGTCTGTGTGTAGGGGCTGATTCCAGCACTGCAAGAGGTGATGCCTGGTGCATATCATCGTTTTTGTGTGCAGCACGTTTGGAAGAATTTCATAAAGCAATGGAAAGACAAGGCAATTCGAGCCATAGTTTGGGAGTGTTCAAGATGCACCACTGTCCCCCAGTTCCAGCAATGCATGGCACGATTGAAAGTAAAGAATGAGGCTGCATGGAAGTACTTGGATGGCATCCAGCCCTCAAGTTGGGTGAAAGCTTATTTCAGCCACTGGTCTAAATGTGATAATATCACAAACAACATAGCAGAGGTATGGAATGCCAAGATCGTTGGATATAGGTCAAAACCGATTATCACTCTATTGGAGGAACTGAGATGCTACATTATGAGGAGGATGGCTGCACATCAGAGGGTGTTAGGAACTGTTCGGGGTAAAATAGCTCCTGCTCAGCAATTGAAACTGGATCAGTTAAAGGTTCTTAGCAATTCATGGACACCCACTTGGACTGGAAATCTGCAGCAAGATATGTATGAGGTCAGGGGGAAAGGTGATAGAGTTGGAGTCAATTTAACAACACATACATGTGCATGCAATGTATGGCAGTTGACTGGACTGCCTTGTGAGCATGCTATAGCAGCAATTTGTCACAAAAACGAGCCAGCCGAGAACTATGTCCATCAATGGCTTACAGTTGATGCATTGCATGCCACATATGAGCACACCTTAAACCCAGTGAACTCGGACAAGTATTGGCCTGCATCTGATGAACCCAAACCTCTTCCACCAAAACTGAAAAGGCCAATTGGGCGACCCAAGAAACACAGGAAGAAGGACCCAACTGAAGACCAAGGGAGCATGACAAAGAAAGTTAAAAGGACATATGAAGCCAAGTGTAGTAAGTGTGGTCAGACTGGACACTATGGCAAGAGTTGTAAGGGGCCAGCAGCTTCCAAAACAGACAAGAGCCAAGCAAGACCACAATATGTGAGGATTGGCACAGACTCAGTAAATGAAATCCCATTAAGTCAAGGAGGCCCGTCAGAAATTGGTAGTTCTCAGGCACAACAAATCAACTTGAGAGGATGCAGCCCACCTCCTTCAAATCCAGAAGAAGCAAATGCAGTGTTGACTGAAGAGACAATTAAGGCAGCCAGCACTGGCACACGAAGCAGATTTATGCACTTCATGACAACACCTGGTTTTATGCCACCAAGGCGATCCTCAAGAAAATGAGCTGCTGATGAAGACGAACAAGGGAGTAGTGCATGAGCCAACTGAAAATGAGTGGATATAATGCCCTTTTTTTGTACATTCTGGCCATTTTTTTTGGGAGGCCTTTTACAGATATAATGTAATCATTTTGATGCATGGCCAAGATTGTATTTATAGGCCTCACTTGTAATTTCTATCAGTTGGCTTTTATTTGTAATGCACTACTGGTTTGTAGTTGTAGGAATGTGATAAGTTCATTTTGATGAATGTGATAAGTTCATGTCCATTTTATGTTTTTTAACTGAGTTAGCTTGTTGTTGGTCATTTAGCTGCCATATTTGCATTCTGGTGCAGGTTTGTGCTGTGTTACTGATTAAACAGATCATGTCCAATTTTCTGGATGCAGGGACCAATTAGGACCCCGACAATCATTGTCGGGGACCAATTTGGACCTCTACACGCTGCATTTTTGTGATACTTCTATTTTGTTGATCTGGACTGCATTCAAAAGCATATAAGTCAGGGACAGCAAGTGTATCTGATGTAATGCACTACTGTTTTTTAAAATGAGTGCTGCATTTTGTTGATTTGGACATCAACAACTCATGTCCTATAATTCTGGAATCAGGGACCAATAAGTGCCCCGTGCACTTTGTCAGGGACCAAAACGACCCTCGACTAACATTGCCAGGGACCTAATTGGTTCTCGTGTTTTGCAATCAGTAACAAAATATGCATAACAATATGCAACTTCTGTATCAGCAATGTCATGAGTTATGTGTCTATATCAGTAGCAATCTATATCTGTTTGTGATACAATGTAGAAATCTTTTATCCTTCATTCGATGCCTATCTATGCAATAATATATAATGCCATAATATATTAAGGAATACATTCAAGGCTTTTTTATAATAGGCCATATGATAATACACACAAACAGATTTGAACTAACAACAGGAAGGAGTACTCATTACAATTCACTGAAGCAAAAATACATTTGGGTCACTTTTTTTCACTTTTACCACACTAACAACAAACATATAGATCATGATCATACCCACACAAGCACCTAAGACCCTAGCTGACCTATCAACTGTCCTAATTTTTTTGTCCATCCTAACTAACTCCTCCACCATCTTCAAGTATACATCATTCAGTTTTCTTTCCTGCTGATGAAGCTTCATTCCTTGCTCAGTAATCTTCACATCTTGCTCTCTCATCATCATCTCCACATACTTTAACTTGAAGTTAATTTCAGCAACATCCAACTCCACAGTGTGAATTCTTGCTTCTTCCAGTTCCATGGGTTCATTACACATGTCATCTACCCATCTAAAAAAATCACAATAGGGCTTCTTCACCTGAAAAAATAAACACCATGGTTAGCAAGTGTTCCAACTCAATAAAGGAGTAGATTACAAATTCGTACCTTGAAGTTAGGACACCCAAGGAAAGCCCTGTTTGGGTTCCTCTCAGTTTTGGAGGTATAGACAATACTTTGTCTCCCACATTTGCACCTCCAACCAGTGGTCCTTGCCATTGTTCTTCCCCCCATTGATTTACTCTCACTTGACCCCCCCATGCCAGAAGAAACACTCATCTTCTCTCACGCCCAGAAATCCGATTGATGGCTTAATGTCTTTCGTCGAGTTTCAATCATCAAAGTGCAAACTTTCTGGCGGCGTTTTGCTGTTTACAGATTTGCTCATCAATTTGGGGGATGGAGTTTCCGGTTTAGGGTTCTATTGAAGGCATTTCGGTTTTTTTCAATTTTAGGGTTCATTATTTGGGTTTTATCAATTAATTGCATTCAAGTAAAACGACGTCGCGCTTTCCATGGGTGTCCACCGTCGTCGTCCAGCTTTCCACCGTGTCCACCGTGGAGTCCGCGTCAGCAGATAACGTGCCACATGAGCACCGTTAGTTTGACCGTGACAGAGGAGTTGACAGAAGGACTAACGTGGCCCTTTTTTCATAACTTTAGGGACCAATTTGGCACTTTTACATTGTCAGGGACTAAAATGGATTTCGCTAATATTGCTAGGGACCAAAAAAGGTATTTACTCAAAAAATTATATGTAGAACCCATGTCAGCACAAAAATCGAAGGGTGTGTAGGAAAATTTGAATTCTCGTATTAAACACAATTATAAAACCCTTAAACTTTATCAATCATAATACCGAGTATCTTCAGTCCTTGAGACTGAAGCTTGAAGCTGCACTGCACAATCCACCCTCTCTTAATCGAAGAAGGGGCACAACTGGCACGTACTCTCTCTCTCTCTCTCTATTCGTTGGTTGCAACTCCACCATTCGCCTGCGCTAGGGAAATCTAAGGTAGAGTGCCTTTCCGCGGTGTTTTCTTCCTTTTCTGCTTTTGATAAAAATGCATGCTCTCTCTTTTTTTTTAAATCTTATATGGCCTCGCTAATAGTTACTCACCGTTTCGTAACATTGTGTGACTCACTCTCTGCTTTTTCCTGCATCTACGTTTTGATTCAATGCCTTTATTTACGATGAATGAGTGATCTTAGGTTATTAAGTGATTTCTCTCGACCCTCAATTGTAAGCTAAATAGGAATCTACAGATCAATTCCTTTATTTATTTTTTTAAATTTAGGCATAATTTGGATTCTGTGAATTAGTAAATTGGTAGGCCAATGAACATCTTGATGCATGGTATATTATATTGTTGGATACTTTGAGGCATGTTAGATTTCTATTATTGTACAATTAGGCATGCCAACAGGCCAGGCCTGTTTCCCAAACATAAAGCTTAAGTTCCACTTCAAATAAAGTTTCCAAATCCCTACTTGTGTTACAATATACCCCATAACATGATGAACTCTCATTTGTATCCTGTTTTCTTCGAGTTAAACTGCAAAGAAGGCTAGTCTAAAATATGTATTATATAAAATTTCTTATTAGGTGCAATGGATTGGGCTTTTGTGCATAGAACATGGGATAAGTGGGCTTCTACCAACATTGGTTATTCTGGTGAGCAAGATTTAGCTTTGAAGTGATGCAGATATGCATAAATGTGTTGAGATGTTAAAATCATTTTTTTTTTTAAATGTTAATTTATAGGTATTGTAGATTGGTAACATATATCCAATCCTTGTATCTTGTAGGTTATCCTTTAAAGGCTGCTTTGCTGATTAATTATGACCCAACTGGACCATCTCGCTTGTTATCTACCATGTAAGAAGGATTACAATTTATTTTTTATATGAATTTTATATTATTGTTATCTGGTGTGGGGATTTTTTTTTTTCAAGTGAGAAATAGATGAAGATGAATAAACAACGTAAGTGTTGCCTATTATCTAGTGTCTTTCTAAATGGAACTTTTACCATTCAGTTTTGATGAACTTCTTTTCATATGAAACTTCTTCTGGTTCTTTATTATCTTGTCCCAGGCTTCCATGATAATACCAATTTATGATGATAACGAATTTTCTCTTTTGGATGGAGTGCTCTATGAGCACCCCTTAACTACTTAAAATAAGCAAACAAGGACTACTATTGTCGTTTGAAATATACTTGATTGACTTCTCCATCAATTTCCCAAAGCTACATAGTATCTTCATGCGTCTCATTCTCATTCATGTTCAGTAGTTTATATCTCACTTCATTCCATAGGATCAAATGCAATCTCCTGCCTTGTTAGTATCATAGTGTCTGTTCAGTAAAGCTGTTATGCAGAAGCTGTTCTGGCTATTGTATCAACAGCCAAATTGTTGTCACATAGTTTTTTATCTTAACAAAAAAATAGTTGTAACATTTTAAGCTGTTCTGTGATTTTGTTTGAAACTCTCTATAATACTATCAGTGGTCGAAGAATTTAAGTACTTGTTTTTGAAAAAATTTGTATGTTGTCTGGTAAACTTCATGATGGCTTTGTTGAAGCACCTCTATTGCATATTTGGATTTCTCTTTTTGTTATTTCTAGAAATATTGGATGTGTCAATTTGGCTATTGGATAGCGCAGTGCTGAACAAGAAGGAATAAAAGCCAATCCCATTGAGTTGAATCACTTTGTGGACTTCATCAAACACAATAAACTCCAGACAGAGAGCTTCATTATTGGGTCCAATCAGTGTAAGCTTGAACATATCTGCATTTTGTTTGCCTAAATAATTACTTGCTGTTTTGTTTGGGGGAAGGGGTGTTGGTGGTATTTTTGTCTGTTGACTTCTTTTTTTGTGCCCTCTACTATAAGGACATTTTGAAATTGCTGAGTATTGAATAATATACTACTTTAAGGATTTGCCGACATATCTAGGTAATTAGGGGTTTAAGACTCTAGGAGAGTCGGGCTAGGGATCAATAACTAGTGGAACATATGTGCCCTTGATACTTTTTTCTATTTGTGCAATGGTGAGGGATAATAAACTGTTTTGTATATATGCAGTTGTGAACTGTATGCTGCCATCTTATAGTAGTTAAAGAGGTCTGAGGAGAGTTAAAAAAAGAATTACAGTTATTGCTTAAGTATATCTGGCAATATGTGAACAAGTCACATAATTGTTGGAAGTTTTCCCTAGAGCATTTTACTAATTTAGGAGAACCACAGCACACAAGCGTGTGCATGACTGAATGTGTGAATATGCACCTATCTTGTACATCTTCTAATCCAAATCCCTGTGAGTATGGAACTTGGTGGACGGGCAACATTTGGACCTAAGTCAAAGTCTACTCTAGACCAATTTCATCAGTGAAAACTAAATTCTACGAACTCCTAGTAGCTTCATAGAGTTCATGGTGAAGTTCTAGATAAATATGATCTTATATTGAACATTTTATTAATCTGAATTAACTTCTCTTTGGGGTTCTACTCTTCAGCTAGTTACTTAGATTTGCTTGTTTTGTGCTCAAAACAGCTAAGAGCGCTTTTGAAAGAAAAAAAAATGATTATTCCCCAAAAATTAAGCATTACCAAACTTGCACTTAGCACGAGTTTGAAAATTTATGAAGTTCTGGATTACAGATAGGTAGGGAGATGCATGCTATTCTATACGTGATGATATTGCATGTCATTAGAATCATTACACTTTTTGTGCATTATAGGTAACATTATCCATTGCTATGGTGCATTGCAGTTCTCTTCTCATACTTACTAATAGAAATTTTGATGGCAGACTTGGTCACGTCAATTCACGAGAATTGGTTTAGTGCAAGGTGCATAAACACATCAAAGCCTGCTGGTGAAGGTGCAATTGTTATGCAAACAGCAGCATATATCTTGGTTGCTCTGTAAGCATATATTTCTACTTCAGCGTGTTTATCATGGACTACAAATGCACTTTACTTGCGGATTTCCTCTCTCTCTTTCTTTGTCTGCTCATCTTTTGGTTTTGCAGGTATGAAGGTTCCATTGGTCCAGCATCTCGTGCTATGGCAGCTGCTGATCAGTTAACTTGGCAATTAGGGCGAAAAAATCTTTAGAATGGTCCTCCTTCAGATCCGTAGCATGCACTTATATAAGGGCCAATTTGTTTTATAGTTTTTGCTTTTCCAGTTTTAATTCAGATTGTTGCGGTTAAGTATCTTGGTGATGGAGCTATCACAACTATATTGGTTGCAGTATATGGTGAGGATCCAACCGGTCCAAAGGGAAAGGCTTATTGATAGGAGATTAAATGTGCTAGTCCTGTTTCACTTGACCATCCCTTCCTGTGTTACCTGTTGCTTTTTTTTTTTTTTTGATAACAACCTGTTGCTTTTTCACTCATTAAAGAGAACGAAACCATAGTCACAAGCGAGCATTACTTTGATGTATAACTTCGTTTTATACCAACTAGATTATTCTACCCGTTAGGTGTAGGAATTGTTAAGTGACGCACATGTTTGTTAATTTTTTTTTTTTTTTTGGTAAATACATGTTTGTTAAATTATTATAGTAAATATAAACATATTTTGATGTAAATTTACTTTCTTGCCTCATAAATATAAAATTAATTGAGAGTAGTAACATACTAACATGCCATAAAAGAAACAATGATTGGACCAGTGAGATGTGACATTAAACTAGTAGTCATAAATTTTATAGTATGTAATATATATATATATATATATATATATATATATATATATATATATATATATATATATATATATATATATATATATATATTAGATTGACACAAAACGAATTGAAATAGTGACACAAAATTTAAAGGCTATATTTTTGCTGAGAAATAAATAGTGGAGAGGTGAGGAACTAAATTGAAGGATGACAAAATATTCAAATTTTACAATGTGAATTTTGAAGTTACAAATTCCCAATTATAGCCTTAAATTGCAAAAGCATAAAACTTAGGGTTTGGTTTTTTTGCAGCAGCGGTAGAAAGCAAACGTTTGCCGCAGAAACAAAAAATAGGATTCATTAATTTTATTTTTAAATTTTTTTTTACCAGAATTTGATATCATATCATGATAAATATGTGAGCAGACAAATAGAAATAATTTTGCCTAAAACTTTTGATTGAAGCCATCATGTGAGTCATCAAATGCAAACCTAAAAATATAGGAAAAGGAAATAAGCAAGTAAATCATAACAGAAAATAGCATAAAGATAAAATTATTTGTGTCATACTGAAATGGCTCAATCATTTGATAAAATTCACGTTAAAATAACTTACAAATCCAAAATATGAATTAATATACCAAAGATAAAAAATCTCTGATTGAAGACAAACAAACAATCATCTAAAAAAGTTAAAAATGTAGAACAAACTCAACATCAATGAAAGTATGATCTCTCTAAGGTTCAAAATGAATAGACTTGAACACGAAAAATGAAATGCATGCATTGTCTAGAAAGAATAAAAAGAGTCTAAATGAAATAAAAGTTCATTTTTCCTGCAGTTAATGCAGATAAGTTATTTGTATTGAGTTCAAAACGATGTCATTTTGGGGCGGGAATCAAGGTATTTTTGTAATTTTAATTTATTTCAGGGTTATAATAGTCTTTATAATTATAATTTTTTAATATTTCAACACCAAAATGACGTCATTTTGAAAGTAAATGCAGATAATTTAGCTGCAGTAATTTCGGAAATATTTTTCTGTGAAATAAAACCCTTATAAATAGTTGACTTCAGATTGTGAACGGAATTAAAAAAGGAATTTAAATTATAATTAAAAGAAAATAATTTGAATTTTGGTAATCAACCAAGGTAATGAGAAAAATTATTATTTGACCTTTTTTAGGTTTTAAAATATGACTGCATATCATTCAAAATGATTCTTATTTTGATAACTTAATTTTTTTAATAATATTAATTTAAAATGATTCATTATATATTTTTAATTGATTTTAAGTCGTCTAAATATTCTTAATTTTTTTTTATAAATTAGGAAGAAAAACTATTTATTTTAAATTCTGTCTAAAATTCATTTTCCAAAATTATTCTATTATAACATGATAAAAGGAATCAATCAGATTTAACGCTCAATTTTTTTTAAAGGAAGAAATAAGAAATTTTTTATTAATATTTGGAGGAATGTTATACTTATAAGTTACAACTTTTTTACTCTTATAATTTTTTACTACTATTTTTATAGTTGTTGAATCAAAATTAAATCAATGATTATAAAATCTCATTAAATAAAAATCGTTGATTTGATTTTACTCCCGTAATCATAAAAATGACGGTAAACAGTTATAAGAGAAAAAATATTAAAAATATATACTCTTTCTAATATTTTTAAATAATTAAAAGTATTTAGTTCATCATGTTAAATGTCATACCGTACGAATTTATGTTTGGTTTTCCGAAAATCATAGTGAAGGAGACAGTGTTATCCTGTGGAACTCACTGCACAGGATCAGAAATCGCGGGAACGCAGCCAGACACGACCACCTGAGAGAAGGTCAGAGACGACGGATAGAAGAGAAGCTCGAAAATTCAATTCAACTTTCAACTTCTCTTCCTTTATTTAACTTGCAACTATAAATTCAATTCAGAGCCCAACGGAAAAGAAGAAGAAGAAGAAGAAGGGGTCACTTTTCTCGAGAATCGGATTCAAGTTTAGTTATAATGAAAGCAAATAGTACTACCACATGGTTGTTATGTTTGATAATTTGTGTAATCTGCGTTCAGTTCGAAGGTTGTGTGGGATCTAAGAGGACGGATGAGGCATATGTGACTCTTTTGTATGGAGATGAATTCTTGTTGGGCGTTCGAGTTCTTGGAAAATCGATACGGAACACTGGTTCCAACAAAGAAATGGTGGTCTTGGTCTCAGATGGGGTCTCTGATTATGCCAAAAACCTTCTCCGGGTGATTTTCTTTTTCTCTGTTTACATTTACATCACCAATAAATAATGGGAATGAATTCCTCAAAATTTTAAGTTTTGCGCAGTTTCTAATCTTAACTCTTTATTTGGTGTATTTGTGTTTGATTTTTGTGTAGGCTGACGGGTGGATAGTTGAGAAGATTAGTTTACTGGCTAATCCTAATCGAGTTCGTCCAAAGAGATTTTGGGGTGTTTACACAAAGCTGAAAATATTTAACATGACTGACTACAAGAAAGGTAACCATTTTTTTTTTTTTTTACCTTTTTGTATATCTCATCTGGTTATAGAAATAGGGATTAAGGAGGGAACTTTAAAATTTCCATTTAGTTAATAGCCTTTGGAATGGGAACTTTTTTAAAATGGGAGTATTTCCTATGCAGTTTGGTTATATTAGAACTTTTCCTTTCATTCCCCGTTTATAACTTCTTGGTAGTTGCTTTTGAATCAAGTCAAACTGGAGATTATAATTTAGGTTTTGGTTTTTAAGTTTCCTCTCATATAGTGATACGGAGTGTGATTTATTGGTTGTTTATGTGTTGAATATGAACGTGCAGTTGTTTACCTCGATGCGGACACTATTGTGGTTAAAAATATTGATGATCTTTTCAAATGTCGGAAATTCTGTGCCAATTTAAAGCATTCTGAGAGATTGAATTCAGGAGTCATGGTGGTGGAGCCATCTGAAACTGTTTTTAATGACATGATGAGCAAAATAAAAACTACTGCATCTTACACTGGAGGTAAAACAATTTTGGGGCACAATTTTAAATTCTATTAATTTGTTCCTTTGCATTTACTTGTTTTAAGCGCCATATGTGGCAGATGTTGATTTAAACCTGATAGCTTTTTGGCAACTGTCTTCATCTGTCTTTTCCCCCCTTTGACAGGAGATCAGGGGTTTCTCAATTCATATTACTCTGGGTTTCCCAATGCACATATTTTTGAGCCAAATTTGACACCCAAAGAATTGAATTCCAGACCCATTCCTGAAATGGAGCGACTATCAACACTGTATAATGCAGATGTTGGTCTTTACATGCTAGCTAACAAGGTACTAGAATATATTGTTGGTCTTTACATGCAAGTTGTAGCCCACTTGAAGTCTTCTTTCCGTCTTTATTTGTATCATCAAAACTCTTGGTTGATGTAGCATCTTTAGATTCCTCATCTTGAGTGTATTGATTCCACATATATGTAATGAGAGGATGGTTCTTTCCTTTTAAGTAATTAGAGTCTGAGACAAGAGAGATATATGCCCCCTTTTTAGCTTATTTATGCTTGATCTGTTTATTTGAGTTGAGTAAGTTAAGATGGAATGTATGCTAGGTTTGGTTGCTTCATCTAATTAATGCCTGACTTGTCTGAAAGAGTCCTACACTTTCATGCATCTGATGTTTAATTGATGTGTTATTTGTCCAATACATATGATGTGATTTGTTTTACATGTACTGTCTTTTTAACAGATATTCTTTGTGATCATCGAAATAAAATATGGCATTCGAGTGACCTATTTTAATGTTGAAAAAAGGAGTTATTTAGTGCTGCTATTGGGTTCAAATTTCAAGGTGGCAATTGTAGCAGTTAGAATCAGGACTTGTTAATCTGGGTATATTAATGGGACAAGGTGATGATGCCAAGAAAGCTTCAGATTTGTCATCATCTTAGTATTTTCATCTTGCTTTATGTAGCATTAGAAGCTTCGCTGTTGGGCGTGTGGTCTGTTGAAACTTCTGTTTACAATCAATTCTGAAATGTTCTAACTGATATTTTAAAGTGGTGATAGGTGTGTAAACATGATTTCATTAAGGATTGAGTAGCGCAGATTCTTGTTAACATTGTTATTTAATGTCTTGGTTTAGGGCACCTAGTTTAGGATAAATGTGATGTCGATGTTTTAGGGCATCTCGTCCTAGCCTAAATTGGCTCTCTAGCTGCTGCAACCATCTCATGTTGGCTAACCTTATTAATAATGAGGATTATGTACAAGATTTTATACACACTCGCATGCATACCAAACATATGTATTTGTCTCTGAGCATTCCTTTAAATTGCATCTTTTAATTCAATTATCTACCATTCTAACTATTCATGCTGATCTATCCAGTGGATGGTAGATGAGAATGAACTCCGGGTGATTCACTATACACTTGGCCCCCTTAAGCCTTGGGACTGGTGGACATCTTGGCTTTTGAAACCTGTTGATGTCTGGCAGGTATTTGTGCAACCCATCATCCTCTTTTGGTCTGTTATTAGTATTGTTATGATTGTTCTCTTCCTCCAATGTATAAAGAGACCACTTTGCCTAAGTAATCATGTCTATCCATTTGAAGCTCGTGTCAAAAGTATGCTGACTTATTTGTGCTTACCTTGGTGGGGTGCTTCAGGATGTAAGGGAACAGCTTGAGGAATCCCTTCCTGGAACAGGAGGGGGCCAAAATCCTAAAGACAATTCTCTTGTGAAATTTCTCTTTCTGATACCACTCTGTCCTTTACTTTTCTGCTGCTATCAGTCATTTCTAAAGGTCAGTTATCATGGATTGATATTCTTGTCCAATCTTTGAGTATTATGCAAATAGGGCTTCACGGAAGTCTCAGAATATTGTATTTTTCTGCAGAATCAAGGGAGTTCATTTTGTAGAAGCTCACTATTTGATCATATCAGACACCTTTATTATAGGATTAAATCAAGTGGACCATTTGCATATACTAGTATTTCGGCATCAACAACCAATTCAATCCATCAGGTCAGTTGTCTCTTCTTTGTCTTAGTTGGGGATTTGGATCTTCTCATATAAGTATATCACACGACCTAGTCATTTGATGATAGAGACAGACAGAATGCCATGTGTTCCCCTCACCTTCTTTTCCTGCACAGGAAAATTTGTCTATCTGACTATCTTCATCGTCAAATGACCTTGGTCATGATATGGCTTCAGATGAGAGGATGTATATCCTCTAGTTGGATATACTTGCTGCTTATATTTATGTATTTTCAGCATACTAAAATTCGTTTCTATGGTGTGAAGCAGCTCTTAAATGGTGCCAAGTACAAGATTCCTGCTTATTTGGGTTGCATTTCTGTCTGTGTCTGTTTTATGGCTGCAGTGGTGTCTCTGGGAGTAGCTCTCTTGATTGTTCCTCGGCAAGTGATGCCGTGGACTGGTTTGCTTTTGATATATGAATGGACATTCACAATTTTTTTTTTATTATTTGGAGGTTATCTCCATTTGATTTATCAGTGGGGAAAAATTGTGGCATCACGAGCAGCGTCCTCCCTGTCACGTCCTGAGTCTTCGGATTATGATTCAGGAAAACGTATGTTCTCTTGAGTAAAGCTTATTTTATGGTGTTATTTTTCGTATAATTGTGACTTTGAGATCCTTATTCTTTTTAATTTTTTATTAACATCATTAGTTTTATATATTAACTGTATTTACAGGTCACCAGCGACAGATGTCATCTTGTGATGTTGCTACATGGTACTATGGTTTAGGGATGGCCTTGTTGGCCATTGGTGCTCCATCTTTGCCTTGTCTTTTTGGAATAACTGCCTTGTTTCCAAGGTAATTTGCGTTCTAATATATTAGGAAAGAGCTCTTATTGTACAATGCATTGCATAATTTCCATCATGACAGGTCTAGTTAAAATACTTTTAACCTCTTTTTTTTTTTTTTTGGGGGGGGGGGGGACTTATATCTTTGTGGTTCAAAAATTAGCTCTTTGATCACAGTGGCATGTCTGTTATCATTGACTATTAGTCAAATTTTAAATGTCAAAATTCAACATTGAAAGAACCAACGTTTTCCAATCTCTTCTAAACTTTTTTGTTTGATAACTGGCTTGTAACAATAATAATAGCAGTACTAATTAAAAGTGGAGTAATCTTTATTATTTCAAGATAATTTAGTTATTTGTTGTGGCTTCTATTTATGGGTTCTGTTTTAGGTCAGCTTTATGTTAATTAAGTGTCTTATTTGTAAGGGACAAGGACTCTTAATGGACTTGGGTTAGTAATTGTAATCTGAATTCCCTATGAAGAGATGTAATGTACAGGTCTTAGCTTGTACTATGAAAGCTAAACCTTAGGTTTTGAATTTAGATCCTTTACTTCAATATTAAACCAAGAAACATGAAGAAGAATTTTCTTCTTTCCTGGTTTGTTTTTTTACACTGGTAGAACCAAGACCATTGGCTATGTTTGATTCTTTCTTCTCCCAGTCTTCCTCCGTTTCTTGGTAGAATCTTATCTGGATTCTTTGCCCTACATCATCACATCACATAATACGAGAACTTATCTGCGGAGGTTTGAAGTCAATGAAACCTGCCAAAGGAGCCTTCCCTAATTTTGAAATGGATTTAATCATTTTTCTGTCCTTAATTCTAAGTAGTTTTGGTATGAAAAAATCAGCATTTTATCAAATCTTTCTCTTTGAAGTTCCTCTTATATTTCTGTTTCTATTTTTAACAGGTTAGGATTGATGGTTGCTGGGGGCATAATATTGGCATCTTTCATGACATACGCTTCTGAACATCTTGCTATTCGGTCATTTCTAAAAGGCCTTGGTGAGTGGGATATTGCTCGAAATAGGAGCTTGTGTTGATTGTAATAATAGGAAGTGGTGATGTAAACTATAGTCGACATTTCCTTCCTTTATTCAACTTTCATATGTTGTGTTGTTCTACTGGAAAATGTAATTTAGGAAATTTTGTCTGTCTAGCATTGTATTTGCCGAAGTTCTGTTGTAATATTATCATTTTTCTTTCAAATGATGGGTTGTTCTATTGAAATTAAACGTATTTGAGTCTCCAAAGTCAAAACAGCTATACGTGGTTAAACTTAAACTTCATTTACTGCTGGTTTTCTTGTATTGGTTTGACGGGGTTGTGGGCACACAAGCTCTCGAATATGATTCACGAAATATGATTTAGATTTTTTAAACTGTTGAGTATATTTTGAGAGGGTAAATTGTGCACAATTAGTTGCGTCTGAGTAATATTACTCGCCGATGATTGCTATAACTTAAAGTAGTTTGAGGTGGGGGGAATCCTTTACCGTAAGATTGTTTATAAATCGATCAAATATAAGATTGTTCCTAAAATGAGTAAAAGTATATCATACTTTATTTAGTTAAACGCAAGAAATGATGCATAAATAGTATATTTTCCCTTGCAAATTCGATTGGTTTCTCCGGTCTGGGTTAAAAAAGTGGTTTCAGTGTGCAACAGATTATCATAGGGTAGAATTAAATTAGCTCCTTGCACCAAATCACCAAATGCCACGGTGTTATCTATTGATAGCTTGGAATGATGGTACTACTTAATCCTTGACCAGGCAATGAGTGGTGCGAGTAGGTTACAAGTCAGATCTTTGTTTTTTTTTATCCATAGACAATTAAAAAGGAAGAGATATATAATTCATCGTTTGTCTCTATCCCCCACCCCACAACAAAAGATAAATGTTCATCTTTTGTTTTTTGACTTTTTCCCCTTCCTTTTTACCTATGCGTTTCTTATTAAAAAGAGGGCCAATGTGTTTCTTGTCGAGTACTTCTTTTGGTCCCATGTCTGGGTGGGGTAATGTTATGGGTTCCACTTCCATTTGAGATGCTAAATCTATTTACGAAACCGGTATTATTGGGTCTCAGGTAACAGTCAATAGCTACGAATGAGAATCAAAGACAGATATATATATATATATATATATATATATATATATATATATATATATATATATATATATATATATATATATACAGGGTTTAGTGAGTGTACAACGACTGCATGTAAAAATCGGTCAAGTGCACTATGTTCTCTCGCGAGAATACAATTATAGTAAAATTATAACTATGTTCTCCCGGGAGAACACCATTGTAATATTTTTGCATTGTGTTCTCGCGGGAGAACATAGTGCACTGGACCATCCAGTCACTTTATTTTCATTTTTTTAACTCACAAACAAGGGAAGGACTTCCTAAAACCCTACCTTCCCTTCCAAAAACCATCTCCCAAACAGAGCCTTAGTGTAATTTGTAAAAAAAGTTTGTAAACGGATCCTTCAGGTTATATTTACAAACTTTTTATTTACAAACTATATTATGTCTGACCGGTCATACTTCAATCAAGAGTGTATGACCGGTCAGACTTAGTGTAATTTGTAAAAAAAATTTGTATACGGATCCTTCCCGTATATATATATAGAGAGAGAGAGAGAGAGAGAGAGGATATTCTAACTACCGAAAATTTTCGATACTAACTTACTACCCATCACATCACCATTGGATCAAAGAGAGAGAATGTTAAAAAGTTTTTGAAGAGAGAGAAAATGTTACCTAATGGTGATTAGGTCGTAAGTTGGTAGTGAAAAATTTTGGTAGTGAAAATATCCCTCCTTATATATATATATATTCATGTTTCTCATGTTATTGGAGATATACATAAAAGCAATGTTATAAAAATCAGGTCGACCTGAAAATCGGTGAATCAGTCATGTAACCGGTCCGGTTTTCATATTGGACCGGCCATGTTACAGAACTGGTGTGACCCGGTCGATTTTCGTAAAAACCGGTGACCCGGTCGGTTCAACCGGTGACCCGACCCGGTTTATAAAAAAATAAAAAAAACTAATTTATATTTATAAATTAATGTCTTCTTTTTTTTATTCTCAAACACAAATGTTTTGTTTTCTTTTGAAATATTTGAGTGATTTGTGTAGCTTATTAACTTACATAGATTATGTACCTACAACACTAATATTATCTTGATTATGCAATATGCATGGAATTTTGATTTGATTTATAGTTAGAGATGTCGTTTACTGAACCTGAAACACTAGTATCACAAATATTATATGTTTGATTGATCTTTTATTGGACAATGATGTGTAATTTACTATTTTCATATTAAAATATTTGAAATTGGTATATTTTTTTACAAGTATTTAAGTATATTTATAATTTTTTTAATATAAATTGTAGATTTACATATACTTATCGGGTCATGCGGTTAAACCAGTGACCTAGTACCTCGACCGGGTCAATAACCGGGCCGAGTTTAATAACATTGCATAAAAGTGTATGAGACTCGTGTAGGGTCATATGAGGAGAAGAGAGAGAAAAGAAAAATATAAACCTTACACACTTTTATGTGTGTATAGGAGATAAATTTATCTCCTACATAAGAAACATTAATCCACACGCACACATATAAATAGGTTTGTGGATATAATGTCACTTGATATAAGGTTTTGTTTGGTCAAAATTTTTTAAATATGTACTAAGTGTAGTACACAGTTATAGTATTAAAGTTATTTTTTTTTTCTCTTCAGAAATTTAACTATGTACTAAGGGTATGTCACTTGATATAAGGTTTTGCTCGGTCATAAATTTAAAATATGTGCTAAGGGTAGTACATAGTTATAATATTAAAAATATTTTTTTTTCTCTCTTCAATAACTTTTCAGAGACTTGTCGACTGACGTAGAAGAGAGAAGAAAAATAACTTTAATATTATAACTATGTACTATCTGTAATACATAGTTACATTTTTGAAAAGAAAGAAAAAAATAATAATTTCAATATTATAACTATATACTACTCTTATGAGATACCTATAATTTTTTTACCTTGTATCAAGTGATCACGTTACTAATCATCTTTCCATATATATATTTTTGTGCATATCTAGTTTCTCTTCCCAAGCAAAGCAATCTGAAGACGCTAACTTCCTAGTTCCTATCACAGCCCTCCTGCCTTGCTACTATAAATGAGCCAAGTGATAGTGGAACTCGCACAAGAAAACCTTATAATGACATAATTCATAGAAAATTTCTACACTCCAATTTTAGTGTAACAAGCACTTCTAAAGTGGCATTTTTTGTTCATTATTATTGAATGTCTTTTCAACTACCCCTAATTGTTGAAATTAACAAGTTAAGATCGTACAAGCATGACTTCTGTAGTGGTTCATAACTTACACTAAATAAGAAGTAATTCACAAGATACATCGGTACTGCCACTTGAAGTCAAAACAATGAATCTAAAATAACAGAAAAGATGGAAAAAGCAATCCTTGATCGATTTTGGAAGCCGGTGCTTCTCTTATCTTTTAGGTTGCATGTATAGTGGTATTCTGATCGATACAGATACAGATACAAGTGTGGAGTATGACAGCCTTAAAAAATTATTGGTATGACAGGATATATTATATAAAAATATGAAATATATAATTATATAAAATGAATCAAGTAATTAAATTCAAATATAGTACTAGTTCAAAACATAATAAATTTACGTTTTCAATTAAACTCTCTTTCAAGTACATCAAACAAGCATATACTTAAAGAGGACGCAATTTCTGGTATAAGCATTTAAATTTGAAGAGGTGAAATAGCACTGAGTTTTATTTAGTATCAAACCCCACTCCCCAAAAAGAAAATGATATATTTACATATCATTTTGTATACGTCTTTTGCACATGGGTGATACATGCAAAGTAAATGGTGATAACGTAGTCCACCAAAGAAATAATAATAATGGTGATAACGTATATTATGTGATGACCAAAAGCAGTAATCGATTCTAAATATTATGATGCATAATCAAGCCATGCCCAATTAATCATTTATTTATTCAATTTTTATAAAGATAGTTAAGTATACTAAATATGTATTCATATATATATACTAAATAACCGTGCATGCTAGCTAGATCATCTTGGATTCTGAATTTTATTAAGTTTAATTGAACTGGCATTGAAGTTATCAAAGTTAATCATCATATTTGGCTTTGTCGTTTTTGTCATAGATGACTCATTAGCCAATAGAAAATTGTTAATTGATGGTTAAACCACTTTTTGTTGTTGGTGCGCATCACTTTCTCCAGGGAGGATACAAGGTGACTAACTCATTTAATAATGAAAAATAAAGCAATGGGATGACAGAGTTGACGAGATCATCCTTATCCTCAAGTAATAAACTGGGGAAGATATCATAAAACTACAAATTTGTGCCCTTTACATTGGCTAATTAACATTGTGAATCATAATTAATGATAAGATTAAAGATAATTTCATTTATTTAACGTTCCTTCGTATGATCATTATCTTAAGAAACCCAAAACAATTCATGCACGCCATGGTCGTAGACAAACAAAAAGTGAAACCCAAGTGCACTCTCAACCGTATAAATATATTAGTATATTACAACTAGCGAATGAGTAGATTAATAATCATACTCGTAGATTAATAGCAGATTTGCAGTGTAGTTTTTTCTTTTCTTTTTCTGGTAAGTAATCAATTGAAGACCCTTTGAACTTTGAAGCATCAGAAGCAAGATATTTAGATGCATGCAAATATTTATAATGGTTTGTATACTGGAATTGCATGCTAGTATTCAACCAGATTAATCACAAATAGAAACTGTTGAGATATATAGTCCCACATTGGTTGTATGTGCAACTAATGCGGTCTTTATAAGACCTTGGGCACTCCCACCCTTTGAGCTAGCTTTTGGGGTGGTGACCTCAAGGTTCTTAATATGGTATCTAGAGCCTAATAAGAGGAAGCTTAATCCGTTTAACTTAGTTCTATTTTTCATAATTTCAATATGGTTATAGAGAGATATCACCCTCCTTGAGGGATTTCCGTTGACTTTCGGCGACTTTTTCGGCGATCCACCACCGTCTCCGACGACTTTTCCGATTCCGCGAAGCTTTGTTTTTCTTTAATCTTCTTTCTTCCCAAGATGGAGTATTTATACTATTCATCATCCATCTTGAG